TCAAGCTAGACGGTGTTGAGTGTTACATATTACCTGTGTCCCTGTTTACTGTCTGTCCTGGACACAGTCCTAGGACAGGACTTAGTCTTTTTTGTTCACCCTTGTCCCCGCTCCTCACTGCCTGGCATGCATATGTAGTCTCTGAACATAGCATGCACTCAATAAATATTTCTAAAAATGAAAGAATGAATATCAGCGTTTTTCATTATACAAACAAGAAAACCAAGATCCAAAGAGAATATGCTGTTTGTTCGTATCATTTGGCTAACTGGGAAAGGAACCCAAACTTCTGTGTTCTTTCTGCTAATTTTATCATCTGAAATTAAATGAAAACCCAAATATTTAAGCCCTTCCTTATTGTGCTATTGGATAAACTGCCCTTCAGGATCCTAGAATTCCTCTCTTCACATCTTGCTATTCTGAGTTTAATGGCAACAAGGTTTTCCATCCTAGCTTCCAACAAAACTTCTAGGAGTGCATTTTCCATGTAGTACCATGATATTTTTTAAAAATCTATCCAACACAGTATGGAAAGACTCCCAGAAATTAGATGACTTTTACTTTGTGCTGAAGACAACCCTGTGGTCCTATGGATTTTCTTCTAAATGCCATATTGCCATAGATCAACAACTACTGATAGAGGCAAAAAAACAACCACAACAAAAACAAAACAAACAACAACAACAAAAACCCCTGAGCCTGGTGTAGTTGAAAGTGGTAATTATACATGCTGCTGGTGCATAAATTGCTCCAATCCATTTGGGGGGGAAATAGCATAAAATGAATTTTTATTTTACCTTGCTCACAAATGTTAGCAAGGTAACATCTGTGTTAAATGTTCATACCCTATAATAAATATATTTTATTTATTAAATAAAATGTTCATACCCTATAATACAGCAATTTCACTCCTGGGAATTTACCCTAGACAAGTTATTCAATAGAAGGAAAAAACCACATACACACAAATGCTCATTGCATCACTAGTAGCAAAGGACACAATAAGAACAACAACAACAACAACAACAAAAAACAAACTACAGGAGAAAATGGCTTGGTAAATTATAGTACCTGCTGAAGATAAATTAGTCTTAAGCTGTTAATAATAACAATCATGAAGACCAGGTAGTGATACAGAAGAATGTCATGGTATTAAATACAAGCAAAATACAAAAGGATTTGTGTGCTATGATCATCAGCTTCGTAGGCAGCTATGTCTCCGTGTAGACAAGAGCTGAAAGGTAATATTCAGACATAAAAACAGCATTGGCGGTATTATGATTCAAGATGTTTATACTTATATTTTTTAACATTTCCTTTAATGTTTCACTGGCTTTTCTATTACATGCAATTTTTAAAATTCTTTCCGAAATAAATTTGGATTTCTGAGTTTTTCTAGAATTCTCACTTAAAAAGAACAGAAACCCAGGCTCTTCCCATCTTAAATGAACAATCCTCTACTTGAAAAAGGAAAGCAACATAATATTTCCAAATGTCCAAACCTAAAGATGGAGAGCAAGCAAACAAGGCTGGATCCACCCATGCTGTGGTTGCTATCTGAAGGACTGCTGGAACTCAGGAACCCAGAGAGGAGAGGAAGAAAGAGGGATCACAGGGCCCTCTTCAGGGTGGAGGTGTGTTCATAAGGTCCCCTGGAGAAAGGTCTGGGGTACCAAAAACGTGAGCACATTTACCTGTCTCGCCAGGTTGCTGCCTGGCATTATCTCCCTTCTGCTCATTTCACAGGTATTTTCTGAGGCCCTGACTCTCTGGGGGAGCCCAAATGCCTGAGATGTATGTCACAAGGCCACGCTCTACTTCAAAAGAGATGTCACAGAGAAGCAGGCCTCTCAGAGGTCATGTCTCAGGGTCATGTTCCGTGTGCCTGAGTGGAGAAGGACAGGTCACCAAATGCCTAATGTCTGGATGCTACTCAACTTTGCAGATATAGAACTCAAACTTCCTTTGCTCTCTCAGAGCTAGTCAACCTAGGGAAACTGACCTACACTGATGAACAGCACATGAGCCTTATGTTAAAGCTATAAGATTGCCTTGGGAATGAAAGGGAGCCTGCTAGAAACCAGAGCCAGACAATCGCCCAGGGCATGCCCTCTTCCCTGGAGATCAAACCACCAATGAGAAGAATGTTAGGTGAACACAGAACCCAACACAGAGTGCTGATCCACTTAGGGAGAATTTCCATTCAGATGGATGGCCTGAGGGTTAGGCCTGTAGCTCTCTCTATACCCATGGAACCTGGCAAACCTACCCAGAAGTAGTGCCCATGACCCAGAATCCTACCTCTACCCCCTGGACAGTCTTGGTCCTTGCTCTAGGTCCTCCTTACAGGACACTTGATGGTTACCTTTCATTCCCAGAGCTCTGCCCCGCTTACCTCCATTCACAGACCATGTTCCCAAGGGTAGCTCAGTTTATCTCTTGTGCACCTACTGGCCAGATTTGATTCAAATAGGGGGTGATCTCTTCTTGGGCCTTACCCCCCACTCTCAAGGCCCCTCTTTCTGCTGGTCACAGGCAGTATGTGATCAAGGACTGAAAGACTGATGAAGACCATAATGCTGTGAGGTCAGAGAGGGAGTGGTCACTGAGGTAAAAGCAGATCTGTGGACTGCAGAGTTCTGGGAAGAAGCAGAATATAAGGTGGGCCTTAAAGGTCGAGGAAGATTCAGGATATCTGATCAGGAAGAAGATGAGCACTACAGGCATGAGAAATAGCACCAGCACAGGCAAAGAGGCAGAAGAGATGTATCAAGTCTGGCTGCAGTAGAAAGCTCGGGTAAGAGGAGAAGCTGAAGTTGGTTTGGAAAGGCAAGTGGGCTGTATTCTGTTTGTAATAGGGAGCTATCCAACTTTTTGATCAAGTAAGTGAAAGGATGAAAGTTACGTTTTGGGAAGACTAACCTGGCAGAGGTGTGAAGGATGAAGGGATTGGAGTAGAGTTAGAATGCAGGGTGACTCAAGGTAAGAAACATGATCAGGGTCTTAATGAAGGCAGCGGCACAGGGGCTTAACAGGAGGAAGCAGATTTGAGATGTAGAACAGAAGGATATGGTGACAGTGTGTATTAGGGGAAACGAAGGCTTGGGAACAATTTTCAGGTCTCCGTGACATCACTATCTAGGTGGACAAGGGTGCCATTCGCCAAGATATAGTATAAAGGAGAAGGCACCGGTGAGCAAGGAAGATTGAAGTCTTTTGAACACGTTTACCAAGTTTGTCTGTAGAATGTCCAAGGAATAATAATCAGAGATTAAGTAAATACATGAGTGTAGAGCTCAGCAATAGAGATGTGAATTGAAGCCACTCAAAATAAGCTCACCCAAGAAGATTGTGTACTGTGTTTATTTATTTGAGAGAGAATGAGAGACAGAGAGCACAAGAGGGAAGAGGGTCAGAGGGAGAAGCGGACCCCCTGCTGAGCAGGGAGCCCGCGGAAGATTGTGTACTGTGAAAAGTTAAGAGAGGCAAGGACCAGAGGCTGAAAAAGATCAACACTTAGATGGGGAATAAAGTTAGAAGAACCTGAAAAGACTGAGAAATGGCCAGAGAGTTAGGAAAAAGGCAAGAGTTTCTATAAAGAAGGGAAAGAGGTGAAGTACAACAGCGAGAACAAGTGGTAAAAGGAATGGGAAGAGTTGATTCAATTTGGTATTTGTTTAATTGATGATTTGAGTAAGAGTGGTGTGCCTGAGGGCTAGATTGCAGTGGATGAAACAATGAATGGGAAATGAACAAATGGAGAGAATTCAGAGTACTCTTTTGGGGAGCTTGGCTGTAAAGGAAAGAGCAAGGATGGTAGGTAGAAAGCAGTCAGGGAGAATTTAGGGTATTTTAGCTAAAATATATTTTAGCTGACAGGAACGAGGCAGGGAAAATACAACACAGAGTAATTGAAAGAATGGGATTTTGGACACCGGTTGAGACTTGAGAGATGGCTCGTCCACTGAGTGAGGTGAGAGTAAGTACATTCAGTCACTTAATCATTTTTTGAACATGTACTACATGCCAGGAACTGGGAGTGCGTGGGTAGAATAAAATAATCCTGAACCATTAAGGAATTTGGTTGGGTAGGGAAGACAAATGTGGTCGACAATTAAATGTACTAGGTTGTGTGGGGCACAAGTGGGGAGAGTAAGCAACAATGACCGAATGGGTCAGAGAAGTTTCACAGGGTCGAGGTCAAGCAGGGGTTCTCTGGTCCAGGAGAGAGGATCAGGCCATGTCAAGTAGGTTCAGGTGAAAATTAAAATTTGGTGGTTAGAAGAAGTATTTAGAGTCTGGATTAAAAGGACCATAAAGCAACCAGGTGTATACAGGTCCCTGAAGTATGAAGGATTGTTCAAACTGGGGATGCCCAGGATGATAGCACAAGGGCAAAGGTGAAATTAAGACCGAGCACCCCCTCCGGAATGTGGGTGCGCAGGTGCCGGTGGGTGTTGGACACCTAGGGAAGGACTTCAAAGGGAGCAGAGCGAGACACCCGGTGGGCACACTGAGGGTCAAACAGTGCCTCGCGAATGCTCACTGCGGCCAGAGGACAAGCAAGCAACAGCTACCGCCAGGGCCGAGCAGACCACAAAGAACGCGAGGCGCGGGGGACGGTTCAGAACTGGGGCGTTTGGCGAGGAGCCGAGATACGATGGCCTAAGCGGGTTCCAGCGCCAAAGCGCCGCGGCGGCGTGCACCACACAGCGCCCCAAGCCGCGGATTCCGCGACAGCTTTCAGCCTCTGAGCCTGAGGGAAAGAGGACTGCGCGGACAGGGTATCTCGGCCACCACCGCCACCGGGAAGGAGAGGACACCCCACAGAAAGAGGCTGACGGCCGAGCTTGCAGTCACGCGAGACCAGCAAGACCCGCGAGACTCAAGAGACCCCGCCCCAGGCCCGGCCTCCCTGCCGGAAGTGAGTCTTGTTGGCTCCGCCCCCGTTATCGGTACCTCGCGAGATTTCGCAAAGGCCTCCCTTTTCCGTCTGGGCTGCCGACATGGTAGGTGGTTCTTTTTGTGCGTCCGCTTCGTTGGTTGTGCAGGCCGCGAGCCTTACGGGCGTTGCACCCCAACCACCTACCCTTGATCTTCGCCCGGTTTTCCAGGCCGCGCATGGCGAGCCTCAGGGCAGGGTGGCCGGCATGGGCCCCGTAGTCTGGGGCCGCGTGTTCTGCCCGGGGTTCGGATCTCTTGAGACACGCGGGCTCGCGCGCTCGGGCGCCGCCCTGATGAGGCCGCCTGGCCCTGGGCCAGGCCGTAACATCACCTTTGCTGAGTGTGACCCGAAGCAGATCCCTGATCCCCCGAGCCTACAGACCCTTCGCAGACGGTCAGATTCGCTCTCTGTCCCACCTCCCTTTGGCCTTATCACCAAGCACCTTTTTCCATACAGCCATCCAGACTGAGGAAGACCCGGAAACTTCGGGGCCACGTGAGCCACGGCCACGGCCGCATCGGTAAGTGCCGGCATCCCATCCTGGTCGGCTTTGAGCTCTCCCCGCCGGGTGCTTACCTAGCCGGGAAGTGGGTAGGGTGGAAGTGGGGGTTCGCTTTGTGCGGTCAGTCGGATTGAATTTGACTGTTAGCGGTTGATTTTTTTTTCTCTTGGGATTCTCTACCGTACTCCACTTTTAAGAGAATTGCACATCAGTTGGGGCGAGGAAATTTGATTGGGGCAAAGTGTTAATTTGTCGAAGGCACGGAATACTGTAGATAGTGCTGTGATGTGGAACATTACAAAGAGATGTTTCACCCGGAAACTTGAGGAAATAGCTGTGCTTAAAGAGGAATTGTAGACTGGGAACAAGGTAAGAAATACGCAAAATTGTGGGAAAAGGAGAAGAATTGAGAAGCTGGAGAAGGCTACGTTAGCCATGTAGTTTTGTATTCTTGCAGGCAAGCACCGGAAGCACCCAGGAGGCCGGGGTAATGCTGGTGGCATGCATCACCACAGGATCAACTTTGACAAATAGTGAGTGTTTCTTGGCCTATACTTGGACTGGCACTGACAGTTTGGAGTTAGGGGCAGAGGGCTGGCTCAGACACCTTCAGTGGGAAGAAAGCCTCTTAACACTGAAAAACCTTGTGTTGCTGCGTTTTACGAAGTTAACATTTGATGCGAACTGAGAACTTGTCATCGAGGCTAGAGTCACGCTTGGGTATCAGCTTATTGCCTTAGTGTGCTAGAGTCCTCGAAGAGTAATTGCTGACCTTATTCACTGGCTGTGACCCTCATGGCATAGTCAGTCACCGGGTTAGTGACATCAGATTAACTATGCACCTGCTAGATTCACTTATGCCCCCAAATTTGCTTAGAAAATCTCTTATTACAAGAATGTGTAGAATTTCCATAAAATGCTGTCAGGTGATCTGGAAGACGTCTGGTCTTGGCATTGTCTCTGACATTTTTTTTTTTTTAAGATACTATTTATTTATTAGAGGGAGAGAGCGCATAAGCAGGGGGAGCGGCAGAGGGAGCAGGAGAAGCAGGCTTCCACTGAGCAGGGAGCCCGATGTGGGACTTGATCCCAGGACCCTGGGATCATGACCTGAGCCGAAGGCAGACGCTTAACCAACTGAGCCACCCAGGCGCCCCGTGTCTCTGACTTTTTCAGTGACTTCTGGTTCCATGAAATAAGGCTAGTCTCCTACTCCTGAACGTCTTTGGTGGCTTTTTTTTTTAAAGATTTGTTTTAGGGCGCCTGGGTGGCTCAGTTGGTTGGGCGACTGCCTTCGGCTCAGGTCATGATCCTGGAGTCCCGCATCGGGCTCCTTGCTCAGCGAGGAGTCTGCTTCTCCCTCTGACCCTCTCCCCCCATGCTCGCTCTCTCTCAAATAAATAAAATCTTTAAAAAAAAGATTTGTTTTAGTTCAACAGTGAATGGAGAGTACCTGCTATGTCACTGTTGTACACCAGTGAGCAATTTACACTATAACTGGGAGAGATGAACTATGAAGATGATACACATCACTTCTTAATTGGAGTCAGGTTATGAACGTGATTGCCTTTCTCTTCCTAGTCACCCAGGTTACTTTGGAAAAGTTGGTATGAGACATTACCACTTAAAGAGGAACCAGAGCTTCTGCCCAACTGTCAACCTTGATAAACTGTGGACCTTGGTCAGTGAGCAGACACGGGTAAATGCCGCCAAAAACAAGACTGGAGCTGCTCCTATCATTGATGTGGTGCGATCGGTGAGTGAAGGAGTATTTGTTGACTTTGTGGTCCATGCCTCTCAGAATTCTGGATAATCTAATGTATTTGATCTCCTACCTGGACTCTCTACCCAGTTACCTACTAGACTATTTCATCTTTTGATAGAATTTCCACAGGTAACTCACCAAAATTGAACTGTAGTTCAGTTGTAATTCACGCAAAATATTTGAAGAAGAAGAATCTTTCCAATCCCTCATTCATTCAGTTACTTTGTTATTTCTTGAATGTTTCCCAGTCAGTAATCCCATCCCCACAGTTTCTGCCCTGATTTGTACAGGTTTGCATTTCTGGCCTAAGCCTTTGGCAGTATCTCCTGTCAGCTGGCTCTGGTCCCTCTTACACAACCCTGCTTACAGGAGGCACGGCTCCTGGCCATCTCTGTCCCTTACAGAATAAAATCCTAAGATGTTTGGTTGTTATTTATGGATCTGCGTTCTCTGAAAGAGATTTCCGCACACCCCAAAACAGTGATGACAAAGCATTTTTTTTAAATCTGTTTATTCATGAGAGGCAGAGGGAGAAGCAGGCTCCCCACACCGAGCAGGGAGCCCGATGGGGGGCTCTATCCCAGGACCTTGGGATCATGACCTGAGCCAAAGGCAGACACCCAACCAACTGAGCCACCTAGGCGTCCCGACAAAGCATTTTTGTACGTTTTTTGGAGTCCTTGTGTCAGTTTTACCTCCCATGGGTGTGGAGGTAGTCTAAACCCTAAAGGGGCTTTTGGTTAAGTTTTAAATCCCTTGTCCCAGCCTACTTAACAGTCCTTGAGCAATTTTGATGGTGAGGACCTTCTTGGAACATGGTTGGGAATGTGGTCTGTCTTTTTGCTTATCACGCGGTAATTGAATAGGATGGGGTGGGTGTGCTTTGCTTGAGGCTAGAGTCACATCCTGACACATCTCTTGTCCTGGTGTGCTAGAGTCCTCAGAGAGAATCTGCTGGTCTTGATTCACTGGCGAGGGCAGTCAGTGCCCCCGGTAGTGCCCAGATCAGAAACATGCCCTCCCAGCTCCTAGATGGTGTAGACTGGGAGGCATCTTTCTTCATACCAGGGAGTTGGTATCTGCTGTGGTGTGTATTAAAGTTTGTGTTTTTTTCTATTCCTCTAGGGCTACTACAAAGTTTTGGGAAAGGGAAAACTCCCAAAACAGCCTGTCATCGTGAAGGCCAAATTCTTCAGTAGAAGAGCAGAGGAGAAGATTAAGGGGGTCGGGGGCGCCTGCGTTCTAGTAGCTTGAAGCCACGTTGGGGGGGGGTTCATTAAATGCTAACAAGTGCTTTTCTCTTCTGGTCTGGGTGTAAAGTCTTTAGCACCCCTACCTCCTTACCTGTACATCAGAAACCCACCTAACAGATTCTAGGAGTGAGGGTATGAGGGCCTGAGACCCTCTGCCAACTCCCCTCAGAAAGTGTGAAAGAGAGCGCCAGCACTTAGAGGACTTGGCCCAACACCTAACTTGAACATTTTCATTTATAAAGTGAGAATGATAGCACATGTAGTGGAAAGGCCAGTTTGCATTGTATATTCTGAATTTACAATGAGGGGGAGACCACACCCTTTAACTGTAATATGTGGCTCAAAAGGGGAAAACTCAGGGTTTGTTAGGTTTTGTTAAAGTAAGCTCTCCACCCAACATGGGGCTTGAACTCACGACCCTGATTAAGAGTTAATTGCTCTACCAGCTGAGCCAGTCAGGCACCCCAAAAGGGAAGACTCAGTTTTGATGGGGCACATTCTAAAGAGTGGACAGAGTGATAGGATTAAGGTGATTGTGAAGCATATAATTCCTGAACCTAAAGTTTTTCCTCCTTGACCGCCCCCATTATTTACCATACTGTTCCAGAATCTTGAGATGGGGCCCAGCAGTCTGAATGTTAAACACACCAGGGCTTTTACACATGAAAGTGGTTTGGAATCTAAAAAGCATTTGTCAGGATTTATGTATCCCTGTACATTAATGTTCAAAGAACTACATCATGAAATGCTAAAGATTCTAGTCTGAAATGTATTTAGCATAGAATTTGGAAAAAGCTAGAAGCTGGAATTGGGTTTTCTAGGGTTTGTATCTCCTACAAAACCATAATGATGACCAATGCTCGTGTGCAGATAGGACCTTCAGATCTCGGTAAATTGACTAACAGTTTTTCTAGTTCTTTCCAAAACTTAAAAGTTTTCTTTGGCCCAAAATAAAAGTTGCTTTCTAGAACCCTGTCCAAAGGAATAGGATGATGCTTAAAATATAACTAGGTTTCGTTTGGCAGTGTTGTTAACATAGTCCTCTGGGGTGATACATGGGCTGGGAACCATGAGTTTCTATGGGACAAGTTTGTGACAACCTTTAGAGGATTTTGCAGACCCTCAAGTAAAAGGAAACTGGACAGCAAACTTAGCTGATTTGGTTAAGTGCCAGGAAGGTTTTACTCAGTTGGACAAACAAATGAATAATTTGGATGTGATCTTTGATGGGCCTGATGGAGAAAGGTAAAACTGGTTGTCCCTTAGTGTCTTTTGGAGGACATATAATATGGAAGCTGAGGTCATGGATCTGAAATGGGTTGTAGTTAAGAGAATTTAATGTCTAATTGGTTACAGTTAGACACTGAAGATACAAACATGTAGAGTATCTTAAGATTCAGATGGGGTTTGAGTTTTTGATCCAAACCTTAACAGCTGTGTGTGGCTTAAGCTTAGTCCAATTTTCTCATCTTAATTGAGGATTGTGTGGATTAAGTAAAATGGAAGCATTTACTGAACCTTTTTGACTTATATTGTGAACGATTAAGGGGGCAGACAAATTAATCCCCTTGGTCTGATTAAGTCAAGGCAAAATGATCCAAGCAGAGGGAAGAGCAAACATGCTAACCAGTTCAGAAAAGTTAAAATAAGAATGTAGTTAGGGGGCGCCTGGGTGGCTCAGTTGGTTAGGCGACTGCCTTCGGCTCAGGTCATGGTCCTGGAGTCCCGGGATCGAGTCCCGCATCGGGCTCCCTGCTCGGCGGGGAGTCTGCTTCTCCCTCTGACCCTCCCCCCTCTCATGTGCTCTCTCTCAAATAAATAAAATCTTTTAAAAAAAAAAAAAAGAATGTAGTTAGGGACTTGGTTACAGTGGGAGTTGGGACAAAGAAAATGGGAATGAGAAAACGAGGAGTAGGATTCAGAAAACCCAATGGACAGGACTTGGCAAGTGGATAAACTGGGGTGGGGCTGACAGCTAAATGGTTAGGCATGGACAGGTGGGATTTAGTGGACCATACATGAAAACTAGTCCCTTAGTAGCCAGTTTCTTACCCAGCAATTCACTATTAGCATCACTATCCATAAACAGGACGGGGTTGAGTGGGATAATACTCATTCCAATCCTGTATGCTGATGTTAATATTGCCAAGGAAGCCAGGAGGCAAAGCCATACTTTGATGTTACAAATGAAGGGTGCAGACCTATAGTGACCACTTGGCTTTTTTGATGGGACCAACCACAAACCTTACGTTTTGACTTTGTATTTGCGTGAAACGGACCACTGCTGAGATTAATATAGAGTCCACGCTGAGAAAACAAACGAAGCTGCCAAGCTTTGATTAGTCTGTCCTGCAGGCACAGAGGCCCACGCTGCTACTGGTCTCTTTAGTGGCTGATACGTGCACAGGGTTAATGGAAGTCCTCACAAAAACGGAGAGCAGAGCTTTGTTAGATGCCCCTGTACCTCCGTGGTCTTCAACCATTTGTTTACCTCTTCAAACCGGTAAAGTCACGTCACCCAGCACATCAGGTTGACATGCTTATTTTCTGTAAGCTTGAATTGCTAAGGATGTCTGTCTGGCCTAATGTACATGTGCTTTAGATACATTTTCATCCAAACCTCGGAGCTGCAGCTCTAACAAGATCAGTTGGCGATATCGGACCCGACCCCATTATCAAAATCCGCTAAATCGAATTTAAGCTTCCAATTCAAATACGCGTATTCTTACTTGATGGCTAAGCCAAACGCAGTCAGCCCCTGGCCTGAAAACAAGCCGAAGGGCGCACCATCGGCGGAAAGCGTGCAGCGTTGGAAGGCGGACGACGAGGATGGCAGCGGCCAGAGCCCTGCAGGGCCTGGCGCTCCCGCGGCTACCCCTGTGGTTTACACTGTCCGACCTCTGCGACGCCGTCGCACAACAGCCCTACTGGTCAGCTCCTCTCGCCTCAGGCCCGGAGAACCACTTCCGGAGCGTGTGAGATTCTGGTTCCGGGGTCACGTTAACCTTGCCCACTCCCACGACCGGAAGCACGCTCGGCGCCGGTTCCCTCTGTGGGCTCAGCCAGTTCCGGAAGGGGCGGGGCCGGACTAGTCGCGCGGCGGAGAGACTTTCCCAGGCGAGGCGGAAGGTTAAACTCGGCCGGCTCCCGGTGGGCGTGGGCTCCTTCAGAACTGGGGGCCGGGCCAACCTTGCGGCGCTTGAGGTCGTGCTTAGGCCGCGCTTACGGGAACATGGAAAGAGGGGAATTTCCAAACTTCTCAGAATTAGCTTGTTAATTAGTTGTCAAAAAGATGAGCGCCAGCTACGGTGTTCAAGGTACCTTGGACACCTGCTTGTACATACATGGAAATGGAAATGTTCTGGGAGAACATAAAACTGAGAAGGCATTTCTTCATGAGCTGTGGGAGGTGAGGGAGATGTATGTTTTGATAGTTTGCGTTTCTTGCTTAACCAAATTCATATTTATATTAAACGGCAATATAAATGGACAGAAAATAATTTCCAAGTTACCAGTAACTTGCCAGTACCGAAAAGTAGTACTTTCTCTTGGTCTAGAGTTTTCATGACTTTTTAAGTGACACCCACTCCCACCTCCATAGGCAAATAAACAAGATGTTTTGGAATGCATACTACCACTTTGGCTCTAGAAACTAATTTTGTGGTATCACCCTTAGTAAGAATAGAAGTTCAAGTGTATGTTTCATTCTGGCTCTATTTTACAGCCCAAGTTTTGTTTTCCCACTTTGTTTTTTAAATATTGTTTATTTATCTTTATAAATAAGTCACTTTGGGTTCAAGTTACAAGTCTCCATGTAAAATAAAGGGTATTATTTTTAGCAAAAATTTGAACTGAGCTGTGATTGTAATTAGAATGATTTGGGGGGAGCCCTAATTCCAGTATGAGCTGGAGTTGGAATAATATGGTTTCCAAGGGCACTCCTTCAAAATATTGCCTTTAAGAAGCCCAGACTCCTCATTTTGACACTATAGTTTACCAGAACATGTGTATTTAGTTAAAAAAAAAAAAAGCATTTAGGAAGATGTAATGGCAGCCCGCCCTGCTCTAAAAGTCATCAAACTAATTAAGGAGAAAACCCAGGGCCTTTCTCGACTCCATAATAGAGGAAGGCTGACATTCCGTAGGCACTGGGACTTCTGGGAGAGGGGAGACAGTATTGTGTTGCCCCTGAGTCATTGCCCTAGGGTTGTCAGAAAGGCAGTTTAAAGAGACTTGCTCTCAATAGTGGCAAAACCATCCTCTAGGGGGGGCAGTTTGGAAATGAATGGGGCAGTTTTTGTTTGTCACAATCGTAGAGGGGAAGCAACCAAAGTTGCTGAACATCCTGCAATGTATGGGTTGATTCTAAACAACAAAAAAATCTAGTTTAGGTCTACCTCCATTTTATACATAATAAAAAAATCCCCCTCCCCCCGCCCCCCGTTTTCATATACTTCTCTGTTTTCCAGGATTGCAAATGCTGCTTTAGTCAAGGGAAAGCTCATCCTGTGTTTTGCTCAGAATATTGCCAAAAGTTGTTCAATTCTCTGGGGCGCCTGTGTGGCTCGGTCAGTTAAGCATCTGACTCTTGATTTTAACTCAGGTCATGATCTCAGGGTCTTGAGATTGAGCCCCACGCTGGGCTCCATGCTGGGCACAGAGCCTGCTTAAGATTCTCTCTCCCTCTCCTCTCCCTCTGCCCCTCCCTACCCTCTAAAAAAAAAAAGTTGTTCGACTCTCTTACCAATGGTAACACTTAGTAGAATCTGAGTTGCTAACACAACACACTTTTATCTGTGCATGTGTAGCTGCTGCCTTCACAGTAATTCTATGTACAGGTGTAAGCATCTGACCTCATTATATATTCTAGTATATTTGTACCCAAGCATTTACATATTTAAATACATGTTATAACAAAATACTTCCTTTTATTTCTCCCCATTTACATGAAAGTTAAGGCGTGTTTAGGTTACATTATCTATGAATTTCATTTCAGGATAGTAAGCTGGTGGGGGGGGGGGGAGTTAGAGTATTTGCTGTAGAAAAGGAGAGTGCTGGATCTGACAGGGTTAAGAACCATATATTTAGGGGTTGAGAAATCATGTGAAACAGAACTTGGAAAGAAATCCTGACCACTTTTTGTGAACCCCATGCCAGGCCCCCTGGACACACCCTCCTCTATATTCCCCCAAAGTCTTCTGTACCCTGCCCATAGTACTTACAATGTATGGACACTTGCAGCCCATCCAGAGCCATTATGTGCCAGTATTGATTTTCTGAATTAGGATGAAAGCTGTGGCCATCGTAGGAGGAAGGAATCCTTAGGATTAATCTTAGGTATCTTAAGATTTTAAAGATACATAAAAGTTTCAAAGTTTATTTTAAAAAAAGCAATTTATACCTATATCTCTTGTGATCTGATCACATGTCTGTGAAGATTCTTTGGAGTCATGTTAAAAAAGAGGGGAGTGGGAGAAGGAAAGGAGAAAGAAATAGCACCTTTTGGAAACTGTAATATTATTATTTGATTGTTAAGGACTCTACTTCTATGACTGTCATGAAGCCCAGGCTGGGTTAACAGTAATGAGTCCTGGAGGTAACTACACCCGACCTTGGAATTCCTGGTGATAAGCACTGTCTTCTCTACCTCAGCTGAAAACTCAGATTCATGAGGCCTCAATCTCTGCCTCCCTACTGGAAGATGCCAAAGCCAACTATGTAGGAGGCTTTTTCAGAGGAGAAGACGACCTTGTCTTCCCAGAAGACAAACCCTCTACCTTAGGAGGCAGATAGCAACCTCAAACCCCAGACAGGTTGGGACCTGCGTGGGCCTCAGTGGAAATGGGGAGAAGGAGGGAAGGGAATTCAGGATAGGACTGTCTCCTGTTTAAGTAGGCCAGGGTGGAAGGACAGGAAAGATCTACTCCTTGGTTCAAATCCTGCCAGCCCCAAACTGAATTCCAGTGAAGAGTTCCGTTTTACTGCCTCATATCTCAACTTGGAAATTTTCACGGTCTCTGGGTGGAAAGCCTAAGCCACCCATATTCCCCGCCCTGCTTCTCTTCTTGCTTTTCCATGGAATATTGCGGAAGTTTCTGCATGCAAACCTAGGGTTCCAACAGGAGAAAACTAGTCACAGAATGACAGAAGAGCTATAGGCAATGGGCCAGGGTTATGAGTAAGCCTGGGTTGGCTTTCGCTGAGCTTCACCCCACCAGTGTCAGGATACCCAATGATATCTTAAGGGCTTCATACTAAATAGGAAAATGTTAAGATTCACCTAACAGTGGAGTTGAAGCACTGAGCATTCTTTCCATCACTGGGAACACTAAGACAGTCTGAACAGTTGAAGAGGCAAGCTGAACAAGAACAATGACAAGGTATCTTCTAAGACCAGTCATAATGGTTCAAGCCAGAGAATTTGATTTCAGGGGAGGTAAGTGACTCACACTGACGCTAAACTCTCAATGAAGTCCTCAGTTCCCTGCATGATGGTGTTTCGTTCCTGATTGGCCTATCTCAGCCCATCCCCCAGGAGAGAGAACTCTAGAAAATGAAGCCAAGGAACACGTAGGGCTCTGGGCCCAAACAACTGTACACTGTTTATTGAGAACACCCGTAGATGGTGGGAAGGAGGGATGCCCTGTACCGCATCGTGGCCACCACAGACTGGGAGCTGGGCCCGGAGAGCACTGGCACTGCCGGGGGTGGGGGGTGGGCTTCCCGTGACTCACTGACCATCACAAAGGTGGGAGAAACAAGAGAAGGCCAGGCCGGAGAGCCTGGTACCACGCTGCAAATGGGGATTGATTGGCCTTTGCCTTTCAAAAACAGAGGGTTGGGGAGGGGGACTACTAGAAAAAAATAGAAACTCTAAGATTAAAAAAAAAAACAAAACAAAACAGCATCTGCTCTCCAGGCCCAAGACTGGCAGCAGGGGCCTCAGGCAGGCAGGCCAGGAGCCTGCAGGGGAAGATCAGTGGTTCGGCTGAGACAGTCAGCTGCACATAATTGGCCAGTCGCCAGCACCCAGCCCCTTGGGAATATACAAATATTTACCAGATTCTCTTTGCTTGTTACAAAAAGAGATAAGAAAGCTTACAGCAGATTATTTACAAACAGTATCCTGGGATATCGTGAAGGCAGAGGTGGGCTGGCTTGGAGGGTGGGGTCTGTGGGGGGAGAGCAGCCACAGAAGCCCAGAGGGCCCCAAGCCGGCCCCCTCCCCAGGCTCCAGGCTCGGCAAGGCACTGGACTCCGTTACTGGAAAAGAGGCTTAATTCTTCTTGTGGAGGAACTTCATTTTGTTGCCTGTGGGTCAGAGAGGGCAAGAGTGAGAAGGTTTCAGTATCAACTCCTGTAACAGCCCTAACCCTCTCAGCGGCAGACAGGGCTATAAAGCCTGGATTTCAGCTGTGACGGGTCTGATCCAGGGCAGGGAAAATATGCTAGAGCTCTAATTAGGGCACTGGTATCAATCACTCTGGGGCTGTGGGCAAGCTATTTAACTTCTTTGGGCCCAATTTCCCTTTAAACAGAGACATGCTATGATTCCATGATTTAGCTGGCTGAGCTCTTTGAAGGGAGTAGAAGTTTTCAGAGAAGGGCACTCCGGGACCAAGACCTTTGTAGACCCCTTTATGATCTAGAGAAAAGCTCACTGCCCCTAGCACCCTCATATACACTCAAGAAAGAGCACATGGAAAAAGACCTGGTTTATGTAAGGATCTGTAGTTTCTCCTGGTTCTGCAATTTGGTAAATACTGTGCTAAATGCTCTTGGAGGACTGGGCTGGGAACCTCTTCACCAGGGGATCTCTTACAGTTCTGTCTACAGCCCCAATATAAATACCCACTGGCATTGGTTTAGAGTAGTTTGGGTACAGATCCCCCAGCCCCAGCTTCTTGCTGAACACCTATTTCATCAGTGACCATGCTACTTACCCAAACCTCGGAGAAACTTATTCATCCCACTCTGCTCAGTGTCTGGAAGTTCCTCTAAATACTGTTCCACTCGCTGCTCAAACAGGCCTGCGGAAGAGGAGGAACAGGGAACAGAACCGTTATTGCGGGAAGGGAAGGGGCGGCCTATTGGGCACAGAGAAACCAGGATCTGCAATTACAATTTACGGGAGCATCTTATTAGAATTCAGATTATCTCATCAGAACTATAATTAATAACATCTCACTGTGCTCACTGCTGAAGCAAGAGGCCCTCAGCACCTCCCAGTGCATGTGCCTGAGCTGCATTCCATAAGACAAAGATGCCACTCCTTGTTTCAGAGCTGGGCGCCTTCTCTAGGTCCTCTTAGATCACTCTACCATGTTGTTCCAAAAGGCTTGTTAGACTAAATGGACAGTATTAGTGGACAGAAGATGTAATAACCCTGAGGTTAGACAGAAAGATCTTGAGATGTAAAAAAAAAAAAAAAAAAAAGTCCTAGAGTGAGCTGAGCTGATGAAGTAACTAGAGACAAGGTGACCTTCTATTCTGAATGGAGGCTGCCAACAACCTCAGAGAGCTAGCTCAATTTTCATCAAGGGCTTCTCCAACCTGTGGTTCTTAGAACCCCCTAAATTGCTCAGTCTGGTCTTTTTCTCTGAAGAAGAAGAGCATCTGAAGAGGGGATGGGCTACCAATGGCACGCTGCCTGGGGTGGAGAGGAGCCCTACCAGCCACAAGGCTCCAGCCTGTGCACAGCCTTGGGAAGGCATTTACTGTGACAGGAGGAGAAGAAAGCTCCCTTGGCAGTTTGTATCAGAAGAAAGGGATGCTAGGAGGCCTGGCTCTAGCTGATGGCTAAGAGCTTCCGTCACGGTGCCCAGTTATTCAGGCCTGCTGGTAGCAGAAGACGGCCCACAGCACCCAACCCCAAGCTCTTCTGGCCTTACCCTTTGCCCGACACTTTCTTAGCTCCCTGTCTTGGATGAAGCCTGCAAACATCTGAGACTCCATAAAAACCTCAAGGAAACGGCGGATGCTCTTGGAGGCCACAGACTTGCGGAAGGCCTCTCGCTGAAAGGCCCTCTCTCCCTTCTCGCTCTGAGTCAGGAAGAGGGAGTAGTGCCCAACAGTCTCCACAAAGAACCGGATAAACACCTCCGACACCAGCCCATTGAGGGTATTACATTCTGGAAGAGAAAAGACAAATCTTTGAGGTTCGGGTCAAGAAACGGTCATCTCCAACCTCCAACCCCAACCTCTAGCTGTTATTGTCTCCCTCTCCCCAAGAGAATTTCTAGCCAGAACCACTTAATCTGTTTTTGAAACTTTATCTCTTGTGCTCCTGGGCTTGTAACTAGCCCCTGAGCTGGAAGGTCAGAAACTGTGCTCTGCACATGGAAGTTGGCAAATATTCACTATGTGAATGAGAGTGGAAATCAGAGACCAGAGGATCACTTTCCCCATACCCGTCACCCTTGGTGGTATTCCTGGACTTCACAAGAAGAGGAAGTTCCCTCCATCTCCTGCAGGGACTCAAGGCAAGGCCCCTGAGGGAGGAATAACTAGCTTCCTATCAGCAAGAAGAGTCTAGGCGTTGCCATATATCTTTGGGTTTTCTTTCTCAAACCTTCTGAGGTAGAGAAGAATTAGAGGGAAGAGGGTAGCTTTCTAGCCTGGGCCACCCTACAAGTGCCCCCAATGTTGTTTATGTTTCTCAACTCCCTCTGACAAACTACCACAGTACTTCTCTCTCCTCAGGCCCATTACTCCCTGAGCCCACTGGTAGTGGGGCTAGAGAATTCTAGGCTGGCTTGAGACCAAGGTCCTATACCTGGAGCCTCATCAACCAGAAGGGTCTGGTGTATAGAAACAGGGTCCTGGTACCATGAGGCCCGGGGCCAGAGCAGAGGGAGTCCCGGGGCCAGAGTTGATTCTGCCTGGGGCAAGCCTCACTCACCATCATCGGAATCGCTGTCAGAGTCCTGGGAGATCAGTTCGTTCTTCCTCTCTAGAGCCTGCTCCAGAGCCGCCTGTAGCTTCCTCGGTAACAGCGTGTCCTCATCATCCATCTACAGGGGAAGGAAAACACACAGTCATCATGATCACAGACACTGACTGAGCACTTACTATATGCCAGGCCATCCGAAGAGCTTAAATATATAATCTTACTCATTCCTCCCCCAAATCCTGATACAATTATCGACCTCATTTTACAATGAGAAGCTGAGCAGAGAGAGGTTAAGAAACTCATCCAAAGTCACACAGATAAAAAGTGGTGGAAGCCATGGCATTCACTGTCCAGGACCAGCTTGGGGTTCCTCGCCCAGCACCCTGATGAAGCCTCCCTGGCTCCTCCATCTCCAGCTCCACGATGGGAAGCAGAGCTGGCTCAGGGCAGGGAAATGATGGCCCAGCCTGTGTCTCAGGTATGAGGTTAGGCTGTCGTTCCTGTCTCTGCATTCTGGTTCCGTGTCTGTACCTTGATCCCTTGTACCCAGGAGTGGCAGCTGTCAATGGTGTGTAACAGACTGTACCTTCCCAGAGGGTACACCAGTGGGTTGTGCTCCTTAGTGGAGAGCCGGGAGGATTTCCATGACTAACAAAGGCTTTCTGAAGTTACAATGATGATTGCAAACCTTGACATTCCATAGCATTCTGTGCATGATGTGTCATCCCCCAGCAACATTTCAAGGCAGGTGGTGTCACCATGCCTGCTTTAGAGATGAGAACTCTGGCTCAGAGAAGTTCAGAGGCCCATCTGACATTGTGTGGCTCAAAGGTGGCAGAGCCAGACCTCAAGTGTTCAGACTTCCAGGCCATGCTCTTCACACTCCCACATTCCCATCACACTGGATGATCCCAACCAGAAAGGCAGATCCTGCTGGGGTCAAGACTTCCCAGATCAGCTTCTCCCTCCCCACCCTTGTCTAGTCTGTGAATATGGAGCCCAGAGAGCTCAACAAATAGGCTGTGAAGGTTGAACAACGTGTATAACAGTATTGGGTGCCTGGGGGCCTGCATCAAACAGGCACCTACCCTAGGGCAGGCCATATTCTCTGGTGTCCTGCTCTTTCTTACCTGTCGGATGAATCGGTCGGATCCCAGATTCACCATCAGTGCCTAAGAGAAAGAGTCATTAGTGACAGTGATGCAGGGAATGAGCCCCTGCAATGCCCTCTCTAGGCCTCCAGACCTCCTGGATTCCCAGAGTCAGACAACAGGAATAACTCCAACCAGGGATAGAGCGCCCAGGGAAAAGGGACAGGAGCTGGGTAGAGAGGCCCAGGGGCCACAAGTGAGAAGATCCCAGTGGTCTTGGTCCCTTCCTTTCCCCCTCTGCCCCTCCCTCCCTCCTGGGAGTTTCTGTTCCTTCGGTCCCTTCCTTCCTCCACCCCTCACCCAGCTGGTCCCCCAGACAATGGCCCACCTCCTCCACGGGCAGCTCCTTCAGTTTGGGGAGGGAGCTGGAGAGCAGGCCAACCAGGAAGGGTGTGGGACAGCAGACGATGTCAATCATGGAGGCCGGAAGGACAGGAATGAAGGTGTGCTGCCAGGAGAAGGGGTAGAGCAAGGCTACCACGGCATGGGAGCAGCTGGAGAGGGTACTGGTAGACAGACAGAGACAAGCATCTGAGCCCAGGCCCAGGACCTTTGGGGAAGGGGAGTTCAAGCATCCTTTCATAGGTTAAACCACCCAGTGCAACAAAAGTGCTGATGGAGTTCAGGTCAGGATCTGACCCTGCAGACTGGTGAAGCCCCCACATTCCCACCACTCAGAGCCTCAAGGACACTGGTACTGACCTTCTTTGGGACTCAACCGAGGAACAGCCATGAAGGTACATAGCAACACTTAAACTCACAAACGACTCACATACATACCGCCAAGGGCCACCCTAATCACAGACAGGCCTAACCTGGTGGGGAAGTATCAGCTCAAGCTAGGGAATATGAAGGCAAGGGGAGCAAGAGTCGATCACAGATTTGTAATGTGTAAGAGCTGGAAGACCCTCAGAGGTTGTCTTATCAATTCTACATGTTATAACTGGGGCCACAGCTACTAAGGGTCAGTTTCATAAGGGGCCAGCCTGGGACACAGTTGTCCTGTCTCCCAGCCCAGTGTCACTTGACTACTCTGCCGTCTATCCAACCCTTCCTCGCTGTAATCGCAAAGAGTAGTCTGAGGACCACTGACCGAGGTGAGGAGCCCGGCACCATTCCTACCAAGCTGAAAAAAGTGCCCACGCCCATGTTTCTTCTCAGGCTCCAAAAAATAACCTAAGGTCTCAGTGGGGTCATCCCTCTCTTGGCCTAGATGGGGCTCCGGGCCTCTAGACCCAGCAGCACTCCAGGACCAGCCATCTGAGCAGAATGACCAATGCAAGAGGGGAGGAAGACTTCTAGGGTGCTAGCTAGAAGGAGCAGAAGTGAGTGTGCACTCCCCATGTGTGTTGAGGGCTGGTGTGGGGCACTGGTAAACACAGGAGACACACCTGGCTTGAACAACCCATCTGCTGGGAGGAGAATCAAAGGCCTTCCTCTGGGGACCATATTATAGATGAGGAGGCAGAGGCCCACAGTCAAGTTCAGTTTTAAGCTTGATTTTCCCACTCTGACCCTCTGCCTCTATTAGTCCCACCTATTAGCCACAATAGACTCTACTTGATGAGCTCCCTCAGGAATTCTCCCCCTTTCCTGACTAATGCCCCACCAGTCAGAGAACATGGTTCCAATCCATGACAGAAACAAACCCCCTTTTCTAGAAGGACCCCTGGATGTTCACAAGTGTTTCATCAGCCAGTGCCTTGCTTGGCTGTCCTGCCACCCTACAGACACCTAATAGTGCTGGGCCTTGAGGCAGAGACATAGGTATCCTGGCTCTGACAGCCCCTCTCCTGGGGACAGCAGCTCCCCACACCTCGAGCAGAGCCATCTGCAGAAGATCTAGAAAAGGGCTGTCTCAGTGTTGAGGGACACACTGATCTCCACCTTCCCCTCCAATAGGCCTGGCTCTTTGGAGACAGAGGGTTTTGTAGAGCCCCTAGGGCTAATCACTGCAGCGCACCCCTTCCATATACTCAGACATCAAAACTAGACCTGGAGGGACAAAGGATTTGTGGACAACCTAGAATGTGAGCAACAGAACGTGAGCTGGCTGGACTCACTAAGCCCTGACCCAGTCCAGACCAGGTGCCATCACTGGGCTGCCCACCCTGCCCCTCTCCAGTCACAGGCAGACCCTGAGGAGAGTGGGTATCTCTTCTTAGACCCAAGAGTGGCAGAACTTGAATGCTGAGCCCGGCAAAGAACAGAGCCCTGGGGAACTTTCCTTCCAGAATGGTGCAGGAATGTGCTCAGAGCCCTACTGGAGCTGGGCTACGGGAGGGGGTGGCAAAGAGGAAGCCCTGAGTGAGGGAATGGAACCTTCAAGAAAAAGAAACCTCAGGGTCTAGGCTTCGGTAGGGACACCACAGTCTGGCCAGACTAGAGCCTCCCTCGTTGAGGGACAGTGAACACGGGTGGCAGGGAGGCAGCAGACAGGGCTCCACCGGGCTGCTGTCCTGAGCCCCTTCCTGAGGGACAGCAAGACACACACAACTGTGGGATACAGAGACACTGAGGCTGGGGCGGGAAGTGAGGGCCATTTTCATTTCTAAAGCGGGCCTTCTCTGGAAAAGTCAGCAGCCTGGCATTTCCTCCTCTTCCTTCTCCTGGGCCAAGGGTGGCCTGGCATCCCGCCCAGTGCCCCGTGAGGGCATGCAGGAGTCCCTTTCTCCTGCTCCCCTCAGTAGCCCCTCACACAGACAGAAAGGAAGACCCCAGAGAGCCTGGGCCTACTGAGGACCAACCTGAAAGAGGACTGTCCTTTTCTGCCCCTCCTATCAGCACCTGGCATATGGTACGGCACAGAGCAGGTGGGTTAATAAATGCCCAAATGACATGAATTAATTCCACCATTCTAAAGAAACCACTTCTTCCCGTGATGGATCCTCTGACCAAAAAAATACGTGACATGTTGCCAAGATCTCATCCTCTACTTGCCTGTCCACTCCCCACATATACTCCATGCTATGGTTTAAGTATTTGTGCCCTCCAAAATTCCTATGTGGAAACCCTGAGCCCCAAATATGAGGTGGGGCCTTCGGGAGGTGCTTAGGTGATGAAGGTGGGGCCCTCATGAATGGGATACATGTGCTTATAAAACAGATCCACAGAGCTCCTTCGCCCCTTCTACCACAGTGAGAAGGCTCTGGCTGTGAACCAGGAAGCGGGCCCCCACCAGAACATATCCATGCTGGCACCCTGAGCTTGGATGCGCAGCCTTTGGAACTATGAGAAGTACATTTCTGTTGTTTACAGGCCACCTAGTCTGGTATTTTGCTATAGCAGCCTGAATAGACTGAGACACTTTCTTGTAAATCTTGACTGCCTAGGAGAGCTCAACTCCTTCCACAACACCCCATGTTCTGTGACCCTTCTACCACGCCTCCCAAAGCCACAACCAGATCTTGGCATCTGGAACTCCTCTACCTCTAAAATCATAAATGCCAACATTTCAGACCAAGACCTATGATCCATCCGGCTCTTTTCTTATTCCTCCTAAACCAGCTCCCCTGCCTCACGGGCACCTCCTGTCCCTGGACATCTTTTCCCTCTCCTGGTTTGACTGGCCAACCTTCCTGCAACCACTCTGCTCCCCAGCACCCTCACTGCCTCACCTTGTCCTTCTCCACAAATCCCCAGGTGACCTCTCCAGTCATGCCCTAACTGGCTCCTCCCTGGGGGGCTCAGCGCTCCTCTGACGCCTAGTCAGTGCTCTTGCCCCTTCCTCACGTGGCTCTGCCTAAGAGTTCATCACTCCCCTCAAACTCCGCATCCCACAGAGATGGCCCTGCCTCCCCTCCCAGAGGAAGTGCAGCCATCAGCCAGAAATCTCCTTATTCCACCTTTCTCCAAATCCACGTATTTGCATCTGCACACTCTTGGCTGAGGCAAAAGAAGACATGCCCCACTTCTTCCCTCAGGCCAAGTCCTCCCTTGGGTTCTCAATCCTGCCACACCAATACCACAGCAGCTGGCACATAGTAGGGCTCATAAATACATGTCAGATTAACTAGTGGACGTGCCTTCCCCCTCTTCTTCACCTGGCCCTGCTGGGCCTTACCTGAGCTTATCTGCCACAAAAATGACTCGGCGCTCCAGCAGCAGCGAGGCAAAGATTCGGATGAGCTGGCGCACGCTGAGGCAGGTGAAAAGGCACTCGAAGTCCACGTGCTCCAGCCGGGAATCCATGGGCCGCCGCAGCTCTAACACCTGTAGGAAAGCAAGGGGGGAAGTGGGTCAAGGCAGGCGAGGTGAGTGTCACTCCCGGGAATAGCCAGCCCTTCCCTTGTGCCTTTCTTGGGCCTGGCACAGAGATTAGACAGGCTGATAGAGACAGAGGCCAGAATGGTAGGACAAACATGACCTCTGGAAGGAAACTCGAGCAGGAAGGGGAGAGGACATGGCAACAAGGACACTAGCATTGCCTTCTGAGGGGTTTCCCTCCCCACCCTCCCTTTTCCAGCTTTCTAATCTACCCCACTATGCAATAAGACCCAGTCTCCCTCTCCCCTCAGACCACAGCTCTGTTCCCACAGTACTCAGACACCTAGCCTGTGAGCAAGAGGGCTAACTGGAATGTGGGGGAGGCTCCAGAGAGAAGCAGTTGATGAGCCATCCCTCAGGCTCCCAGGAAAAGGAGGAGAGGTGAATACTCTTACAGATCAGGAGAATAAGGAGACCACACAGCTCCATCTGTGGGGTGCCCCCCGCCCCCTGGTCCATCTCCCCAAGCAGAGGTCTTGGCGCCCATGCTGACCGGATCCCACAACCAATCACTACTCCCCAGGCCATAGGAAGACCAGCATCTCCATATCCCTGGGCTGCCATCTCTCAGAAGGCAATGCTAATGTCCTTGTTGTCATGTCCTCTCCCTTCCTGCTAGACTTTCCTTCCAGAGGTCATGTTTGTCCTACCATTCTGGCCTCTATCTCTATCAGCCTGTCTAATCTCTGTGCCAGGCACAAGGAAGGCACAGGGAAGGACTGGCTATTCCACCACCATGCCAGGAAGCAGGACTTTATCAGGGCCAGACCTAGCTATCCTCCCTCCAGGGGGGTTGCAAGGCCACTCCCAAGGTCAGTGCTATGCCAGAAAAAAGCCACTTCCTTGGGGGCAGCCCTGAGGGTGAAGGGTAGCAATTGACCCTAGCAGTGAGAGCAGGAGGAGCTGCTGACGCTCAGGCCAGGCCTAAGCAGCTACCACAGGGGACTGCCTAGTCTTCTCCTTGGTCTCTCAGCGCATGTGGGCAGCAAGGGTGTGCAGGCCTCCTGCTAAGTAGGGTGAAAACTGACGTCCCTTGCAGAGCCCATGGTGTCAGAGCTCTCTTCCAGGGGCTTTTACCCCACATCATCTCATTTATTCCTCAGGGTCGAAGCAAGGGAAGTTAAACTCCTAGCTCAATATTCATCCCTCTGGCTCCCAGAGAAGCAGCAAACGGGGCACAAGGTGCCCTAACGATCAGCAGACACTATCTTTCCCACCGATGGTGAACTCCTAGAAGGCCCAGGGATGAGCACAATGCCATGCCCACACAAAATGCTCAGGGAATGTGGCCTGAAGGAAACCCACACCACACGGACACCAGAGGCCTCTGTATGAGCCCCCCGTCCTTGTCCCCAGAAGTCACAGTGATGCTCCCCCACACCCCTCCACCCCCAAGAGCCTCACGCAGTCTGACAGGCTCAGCTCTGCAGCACAGCGCCATCCTCCTACGACCCCTGGGGTCCAGGCTCCCTGCAGCGTGTGAGAATTCACAGAAGCAGCTGGTGGGACCTGGGCCTCTTCTCATGCATCCCTGCCTTCAAGGATCGCAGTCCAGTGGGGCCGACTGAGTCAAAGTAACCCCAGCTGTGAGACTGGTGTCCGGACCGAGGAAGCCATGATTCACGTCTGCACGGTGGGGGCGGAGGGGGGGCCCACGAGGGTGGAGAAGAAGGGCAGCAGCCCCAGTGGAGGCAGGGAGTGGTCAGGGCAGTGGCTCAGAGCCCAAGATACTTCGTTTGGGCTGTCCAAGGAGAGAAGGGAAGAGTCTTCAAGGCAAAAGGAAGCAGGGTTCAGCGACAGTAAGCAATTCAAGTCAGAGTGATGAGAAGTGAGGCTGGTGAGAGTGGGGCCGTCCCGAAGGGCTCCCAGGCATGCTGCTGGGCTCTCGGGGCAGGGCCAGCCATCCTGCGCCAGACCTCTCAAAAAGCCTAAAGTCCCTCCAGAGGAGGGTGGGGGAAAAGAGGCTGAGAGAGAGCCCTGAACTGGCATTTGCGCCACTCCCAGCACACCCTGTGTTTCTTTAGTCAGACCCTCTCCTGCTCTCTGTAACAACGAAGTCATTTCTTCTTCCCTCTCCTAAAGCCTAGCACCCACCTCTCACAGAGGATGACCTTCTTTTCCATTTTGAGAAAACCGAAGCTATCAGATGAGAAGCCAGAATCCACAAGCCATGGCCCTTCCCTGCCATCACACAAGGAAGGGCCCATCTCTCCTAACCGAAGCCAGTCCTTCCCTGGATCCCACAGCCCTGCCGCCTCCTCGGCCACAGTCTGACTGTCCCCTCCCTCTCCTGACTATCCGCTTTCACCTCTGCCTCCGCTGGGTCATTCCCACCAGCCTCCAGACGACCATCTTCCACAAACTCCCCCCTTTCAACCACTGCCCTCCCCCTTCCCAAGTCCTCTTCACAACCAAGCCTCTCGAAGAGAAGTCTATGCAGGCTATTTCCACTTTCTCACCCCTCTTCACTTCTCAACTCACTCCACTCAGGTATCTGGGCCCCTCAGTTCCTGCTCCACTGAGATCCACTCTTGTCAAGGCAGCTGGCCATTCCTCATCCTGACCTCACCTGAGCACCCCTTCCTTCTTAAGATGCCCCCTTCCTTGGCTTCCAAGCCACGGCCTGCTATCCCTCCTGTCTTCTCACTCCTGGGGGTTGCTCCTCCTCTTTTGCAGGATCCCCAAACGTTGGAGTTCCCCAGGTCCAAGGAGGACCGAGTCTGGGCTCTCTTCTCTTCCCTATCTACACTTTCTGCTACGAAACATCTTCTCTTGGGTGCCACCCAGGTATCTTAAACATAACACCTACAAAATCCACTTCCCTGCTTCCTCCTTGGAGCCCACTCCCTCCACAGGCAGTACGCCGGCAACTACCCTGAAGCTCGAGCCAAAAAGCTGGGAGTTAGCCTTAAAATCTCCCTAACACTGCATATAAAAGTACTTCTGATCCTAAGTCTAAAACGTATCTCAAATCCACCCACTTCTTACCTCTTCTACCACTCCTTAATCCAAGCTACTATCATATCATCTCCTGTCCTACTGTAGAGGAGCCTAGCAGGTCTCCCTGCTTTCACTCCGATCCACGATCTCCACAGCAGCCAGAGTGAGCTTTTAAAATTATCTCTCAGATCTTATAACCCTGCTTTAGATAAACTCCAAAATCCTTAACTTGGCCTAGCAGGCACACTGTGATGTGGCCCTCGCTGCCTCTCCTGCCCTGCTCACCACCCTTTCAACCATCTTGGCCTTTTTTCAGTTCCTTGTCACTTTGCCGACATGTGCCTTTGCAGGTGCTGTTCCCTCTCTATCTGGAATAACCTTCTCCCATCCACACCCTTCTCTTTCAGTCCCCCTCCCCCACTTCATTTAGCTGACTCTACTCACCTAAGTCACCTTCTCAGAGGAAGCCTTCCCGGGCCCCCTAACCTAGAGCAGGTCCCCTGTCACACACTCTTACTCCCACGCTTGCACTTGGCACTTAAAATGTTCAGGAATTATCTACTTAAAAGCAGACATATGTATTTAATATTGGTCTCTCCCACTAGATTATGAACTCCACAGGGACAGAGCTGTGGCCTACTTCAACTTCATGGCTGCCCCAAGGTCTGGCGCCATCCCTGACTGTGAGAGAGCACTGTCGGTAAAGAGCCGATGAATGAATAAAAGGAGGGCAGGTGGAATGTCGTTGAGTCCAAGCAGGTCAGGGAAGGCCCCCTAGGAGCTGCAGGGAGTTGGGCCCCAGTGACAGTTCTGTCATTCACTTTTCCAGTCCTTACTGATTAGCTGTACACACACCGTGAGCAAGGAAGGGGCCGTGCTCTGCCCCTCCCAGGGACTGCAGCCTTAGCTAGCCCCCATCCATAGTCTGAGAGAAGAGGCAGCAGAAATCCCTACCTCATTGCCAGCACCTGGAAGAAATGTCTTCACTTTGATGGTCTTCCCTGGGGCAGGGAAGGGCGACTCCATGAGACTTCTCATGAAGGGATAGACCAAGGCGGCAGAGATCCCACGCCGGCGCTCCACCTCATCTAGGACCTGTGCCCAACCACCGGCAGCCCGAAGAGGAAGGGTGTCAGGACGCTGCCCTTCCCTACCTCCTGGGCAGAGAAGAGGGCAGCGTGGCATCTGACCAGCCGGGGCCAAAAGCTAGGGGACAGGAGGACTGTCTCGCCAGCAGCTTTACACTCTAGCCTTCCTGCTTCCCTTGGCACTCGATGACTGCTCTGCTCACTAACTCGTCCTTGCCTCACACCCAGGAGCTGGGCAAAGAAAACACCACCTGTAAGTCGGGTCCCTGGGCACTTGGCTTCCCCAGGTGGGCGGGGGGGGGGGGGGTCCTCTGTCCCCAAGGACTCCGGCTCTGCCCATGGCCCAGGGTGGACTGCGACATTGGCAGACCATGTTGGTGCAGGAGCTGGGGAGATGCCAGCTGGCCAGATGGGGAGCCAGACTTTGGAACAGGAAAGAGTCCAAGAGCTCCCTGTACTTGCTCTTGCATTCTCTTGCTCATGCCCGCTCGCTTGCTCGCTCATGCACACAGGTGGTTTTCTCATCTGAGCTGACTATAGATACTCCTGTGGGAGCTGTCAGCTGGGGAAAGGGGAGGGAAGTAAGCCAGAGCCCTCTTACCTTGGAAAACAAGCCGAAGCAGCCAAGGCGGCTGATGACACAGTATACCTCCGGCAACCGAGGCCCTTTCCCACTCGGCTGGGTCGGGATGAGGCGGAGGAGAGACAGACAGATACAGAGAAGGCACGATTACTACATCCGGCTCCTTTCCTGGGGAATTGAGGACTAAGGACTGATCTTCTAGTGGACGACTGCAAACCTCTTCTAAACCGCTACTCAACCAGGCCCCCAGAGAAAAGGCTGACACTCTTCGGGGGCAGGCTTCAGCCTCCACTGGGTCTTCCAGCCCAAGGTGCCAGACTCCTGCCGAGTTCCTCCCAGGAGGCCGCTGGCGAAGGAGGAAGCAGCCTGGCAAAAGCTAGATGGTGATTCGTGGATTTACATGGCAAAAGCTGGGAATCCAGAGGACACAATGGTCATGAGAGGGACCTGTGTACATTCCTCGGAGTAAGCCCCCCTCACAGGGGACATTCTGTAAAACATCCCCATTCTAGGTTCCCCTTGCCTCCCTTCCTCGATCCACCCCACTCTAGTAAGACAAACTGAACAGAGATAAGGGCGGCAAACTACTATTTATTGAATGTTTACCATATCTGAGGCCTGGGCTTGGTACTTTACAAAAAGCCTGAGAGAGATAGTACACGGGCACTATCATCTGCATTCTATAGATGAGTAAACTGAGTTACAAAAAGAAGAACTCATTGCCCAAGGACATGCATCTAAAAGTCATGGAGCCAGGAGTCTGTTTTGGCCTCTGATTTGCTATCTCACCGCTAAAGCATACTGCCTCCTGACAGGACAGAAGGGAAAGGGACGCAAAGACAGAGAACAGAAGTGTGCTAGAAGAGGAGAACAAAGGAAAAGGGGGATTGAAAAGGGGAGTGGCTGGAGGAGATGTGCCCTGAGAGCTCCCCAGGCCTGGAGCCCCCAAATGCAGGTTGGGGTGACGCCACCAGAGTCTACGTCTCCAGCAAGGGGCTGGCAGGGCTCTGTGGCTGCCTCTGGCTCAGAGGCCTGAGTGTCTGGCAAGGCCAAGTAGGGAGGGAGCACAGAGCAGGTGCTGGCCCCTCATGCAGGCTGCTAAGCAAATGCAGATGGGCCCATTTCAGTTTCCAAACCTGCTGGCCGAATGTCACAGATCTAAAGAGAAGGCAGAATCTGTTTTTGTCCATATTAGGCCTGAAACTCACTCCTCTCTCTTTCCCTCTCCCCCGCCTCCTCTAAAGCCCCAAGTGATTAAATCAAGTATGTGGGATTTGGGTTAGAATCATTGTGTCCAATCTGCAGGAATGCCGAGCTAGTGCCAGCCCCCTTGGCAGGGACCCAGCCCAGGCCCTCTCTGAGCACGCCAGGACAAACATGCTCTTCCCTGGGGGCAGCAGGCCCGCTGCAAAGGAGCAGCTCTGCTCCATCACTATTCCTGCAAAGGCAGCCTTCGGAATGCTCGTCTCCAGGCCCAGGTGAATCTGGGGCATGCTGGCCTCTGCTGGCTCCCCACCTGGGATCTGTACTGCTCCACATTCCCTTAGCCCTACTCACCGGGCATTCAATATCCAAATATCCCCAGACTACCCTTTGGGGCGATCCAAGAGTATCAAAGAACTTAGAGTCAATCCTGGCTCTGTCTCTCACTGGCTGTGTGATCCTGGGCAAGTTATTCCCCCCCGAGTCTTGATTTCTTAATCTATAGAAACTGACGGACATAGTACTACTTCATGAACTCTCCCCTAAGGATTAAAGAAGATGACATACCTAAGGCATCCAGCCTGGAACATAACAGGTCCTAAATAATAGTTTATTCCCTTTGTCTTCCCTTCTACATTCAAAGTCTGACCTCCTCTACTAGACTATCTAAAATTCCTTGAGGATTGGATGGGATTCATGTCTAACTCCTTTTTAGGTGCATTTAACATGTTGCCTGACCCTCAACAGGAGTATGGTATGTGTTTCAGAATGAATGAATGAATGAATGAATGAATGGCCCAGAATCCTTCATCTGGGGTCCCTGCCTAGGATCCTTCTCATCTGTGCTTAGACTGGCATCTAGTGAGTCTTTGTCCCATTAAGGCATGAACCATGAAACACTGCTGACACCCCAAACCAACAACATCCTAGTGAACTCCAGGGGAGAGCGCAACAGGACTCCCTCTTTACCTTACCTCCATCTGATTATTTCCCAGGACTAATGGGAAGGGAGACGGGGAAGGGTTTCTCTCTCTGTAACATGGCTTATATTTTCAAAATCCTCCCTTTCCCCTGTGTTCAAGGCATCTCTCCCAGAATCCCATAGAAGGTACTGCTCTGTCCCTCCTCGGCCTCCAACATTACCAGACCACGGACAGGATGCCTCCTCACGTCAGCTGGCCAGGTATGGGCATGAGGAAGGTTGTCCTCCACCCCTGTCCGATGCACACACATAGCTGGGGTGATATGATCCCGCACTCCAGCAACAGCACCAGAGCCCAGAGCCCGAGGGAAATGAAGGAGAAGAAAAAGTGTAGGAAAGTTAAAACCATAGGACAGCCCAGTAGGAGGTGATCCACTCTCTCCTCTTACCACAGTTTATCTTAGATCCTGGGGCCTGAGCAGAGGGGTCACTGTGAGTCCTGCGATCCTAGGAGTGCCTCATCCGGGTGCCTGCGTGCGTGCGTGCGTGTGCGCGTGCATGTGTTGAGGGTGGCCTCGAGGAGCACACAAGGAAGCAGAACGTAGAATCCCACACAAGCCAGAGTTGAGGAAGGCGCACACACACATACTGTGCAGCCCAGTCCCCCCAGGGCTGCACGGCTCTACTCACCAGTAAGCGCCTGCAGTAGCCGAAGCGCCTGCTGCCGTCTTCCCCAGTCAGCATGAAAGAGAAGGTCTCACTGGAACGGGGAGGGGCCTGGCGTCAGGGAAGGTCAGAGGACCCAGGAAATAGCACCCCAGAAGAGGGAATGCCCTCCCAGGGAGGAGGTGAAGGGCCAGCTGGCGGGAAGAGCAGAGGCCAGGATGCCGGCATGTCCTGTGCAGTTGCCCCTGCCGTGGGAGTCACGGAGCCGATGCCCCCTTCCTGCCTCCGGCCAGACCGGGCCAGGCCTCACCTGCTGTACTCTGACACAGGGAGCCAGTCCTTGGCATCAGGGAAGCAAAACTGGGGGATGGCCTTGAGCCTCTCCTCTGCCTCCCGCATCTGCTTGGTGGGTCGGTCCAGCTGCAGGGAGAGGGATTTGGGGAGAGACAGATGAAAGACATGGATCCTGGGATGGAGGGGGGTGGCTGAGAAGCATCTCCTCCCCTAAGAGCTTTAGATGGCATCTGGCCAACTGGCATGCTTCTCAGCAGTCCTGTCCCCATTCCCGATTCTTACAGAGAGGTCTGGGTGCGAGCTGAGACATCATTTATTCATTCAGTAGGTGCCAAATGAGTGCTTTCTATGTGGCACCTGGCACTGTGTCACGCGCTGGGGCTACTGATGGAAGACAAAGTGGGTAAGGTCCCTGTCCCTGCACATTCTGGTCAGGAGACTGAGACAATTGACAACGAAATCCCCAAGGGTGCCACAAAGGAAATAAAGAGGGCACTATGACAGAGAGAACTGGACATGGGGATGGATACTTTAGGTATCTGGAAAGATCTCCTGGAAGAGGTACTATCTGGGCAGAGAATGAGGAATGAAAAAAAGCCAGCCACCATGTGTAGAGCTGAAGAAAGAACATTCCAGGCTGAGGCAGAGAGCAAGGAGGCTAGGTTGGCTGGCTGGTGATGGACAGGGAAGGTGTGGTAAGAGGGAAGGTAGGTGGGGGGATGGAGAGTGACAGCTAATGGGATACACAATTTCTTTTTGGGGTGATAAACATGTTCCAGGGACACCTCGGTGGCTCAGTTGGTTAAGCACTCGATTCTTGGTTTCAGCTCAGGTCATGATCTCGTGGTCGTGGGACTGAGCCCTTTGTCAGGCTCCACGCTGGGCATGGAGTCTGCTTCATATTCTCTTCCCCTCTCGCTCTCCTTTCCCCTCTGCTCCCCCAACCCTGCTTGCTTGCACTCTCTCTCTCTAAAATAAATAAACTCTTTTTAAAAAAATGTCCTAATATTGATTGTACAACTCTGAATATACTAAAAGTCATTGAATTGTATACTTTACTTTTTTTTAAATTTTTTTAAAATTTTATTTATTTATTTGTCAGAGAGAGAGAGACAGAGACAGAGAGAGAGCACAAGCAGGCAGAGGGAGAAGCAGACTCCCCACTGAGCAGGGAGCCCGATGTGGGGCTCGGATCCCAGGATCCTGGGATCACGACCTGAGCTGAAGGCAGACGCTTAACCAACTGAGCCACTCAAGCATCCCAAATTATATACTTCAAATAGCTGAATTAAACAGTATGTGAATTAGGTCTCAATACAGTGGTTAAAAAGAGAGAAATAAAGTATGAGAAGTACCTGGGGGCCCTTCCGCAGGCCCCTTGCCATCCTTATAAGCAATTTGGGTTTTATTCTAGGCATACTGGGAGGTGTTCTCTGCGCCCTCATCCTCTGAACAAGCACTGGCCCAAACCCATGCCCCGGAAACCCTCTCTTCCCTGCTAGCTGGCAGGCACCATGCTCAGGGCTGTCGCAGCGAGGTGAGTGGCTATGGCAGGAACAGGATCTCTCTTGCCCCAGAGATGGGCCAGGCAGACAGAAGGTGCTAGAGGAGGGGTGGGATGGGGGAGAGATGGCCTCACCTTGGGAAACTGGTAGGAGACTTCAGGGAGGTAGGTGTTTCGAGATGGCTTCTTCTTGAGGGACACCACCACAAAGTACTCAAAAAGCTCCCGCTCCTGCCACTCGAGCAGTTCCAGCTCCAGAGTCCGATAGCTGGGTGCACGCTTCAGCATGGACTGGATGTGGACCAGGCGCTGCGTGTGGGCTGGGGGCAGGGTGTATGTCAGGGCTCAGGCAGGCTGGACCATCACAGACCCCACATCAGCCCCCTTCCACCCCAGTCTCAGGCTCTGCCTCTGTGGACCACCTCTAAGCGCAGAAGCCTGGCCTGACACCCTCTCGCAGCTGGGTCTGGGGCTGAAGTGGCAAGAGCAAAGTGTCTACGCCTGTGCAAAGGCTCTGCCCTGCCACAGGGAGCTGCTGCGCTGGGCCTTCTGGAGCTTCTGGAGGCTGGGCGGGGACTGACAGGACTGCCTAAGCCAGGCAAAACCCAGGCACCCACCTACCCCTGCCTAGTACCAACACGAACCTCCACGAAGGCTTTGTCCTGGGTCCCTCTCAGAGTCCTTGGACTTGGACCCTTTGTCCCTGTCCCCAGCCCAAAGTCCATTTGCCCACTTGCCTGGGGGACCAGTGGAGGACGGGAGGAGGGAGCTAGCTCTCACATACTTTAACCATCCAGGAAAGTCTAGACAGGTTTCCCAGTAGAGAAAGAACAGAGATTTAGCCAAGGCTGCTGGAACGGGAAGTTTCCAAAACCTTTTCAGGGAGGTGTCAGTCCTCCTCTCTATGGATATGGGGCGTAAGTGGTCTCAGGGCCTCCAGAGGACCAGTTTCCTCAGGCTGGCACAATTCTTACAGCCAGGAGAGGTACTTGTAATCTTCTAAACCCACCTCTGACCCTCCAGATTTGCAGCATTTACCAGGCAAATCTAGCACCCAGTTCTTGTGGACAAGACCGTGGGGAAGTCCAGGTGAAGGGGGACGTCTGAGTTCAACCCTCCCAGGGCTGCCTTGCACGCAGTAGGAGGGGACTCCCCTACAGCTCTTAGCTCTGTTGGCTGCTATCCTGCCTGCCTCTTGCCTCTTCAAAGCAGGCCACCTGGGGACGTTGGAACTCTATGTGCAGAAGAAGGGGGGTGACTCTACAGCCAGGGCTGGGAAGGGATTCCGTGCTCTCGGGGAGCCACGCCTCACCTTTGAACCTGTCGTCAGAGTCGCTCTCGCTCTCACTATTCTCATCTGGAAAAGTAACAGTAGGAGTGCACGCTTGCTGAGCCGCTGCCCCACAGCCAACGTTTCCTGCGCCCCCCTCCCAGCTCTTCTCACGAGGGATGGATCATACCTCTTCTGGGCCCCCCTGGGCCCAGGGTCCCTCTGAGCTCAAACCACAGGTGCTAATCACTATACAAACCCCTATCCATCCAGTCCTGCTCTGGGGGAAGCTGCTGAAGGCCTGAGCTGGAGGCCGAGCCAGCAGAGAGGCCTACAGGCCTGGATCACAGGGCCTGCCTCCAGGACGCCAAGATTTGAAATGGGAAACAGACCACAGTTCTCAGTAAGTCTGGCCTTTCCTTTTGCCAGAAGCAGATTCCCACACCCACCTCCCTCATCAGGGCCTCACAGCCCAAAGCCTGAACTAACCCATCCCATGGTTTCCTTCCCTCTTTGGCCCTCCCCTTCTATGGGCCACTTCTTGGTTGGACTCTACCCTCCTAGAAGGCAGGAGGATCCTGGGATTGGCCCACAGAAGGATAAACTAAAGCTAGATCATGCTTCTCCCTGTTCCTACTGCCCAAGGGCCCCAGACACCTGAACCAGCTCAGACATCAAGGCCTACCTCTCAGTGATGCTGTCTCAATGCTGGACATTGACAGTTTTTTTAATCTCTTCTTTCCCCTCTTGGCATTATAGATGGAGTTAATTCTTTGGACAAGCTGGGTGAGGAAAGCAGAGAAGGTGAGATAACCTTAACATCAGCTGCCCCTATTTCCAAGAAGGCTGATTAGTAGCCCTTTCGTTCCCTCAAGGTGCACACTTTCTGCCCTCCCCATACTGGACCCAGTACTGGTCTCCCGGCTGCACTAACCCCAAGTGCAGACAGGCCGGTAGCTCTTCTCTCCCTCGTCCCCTCAGTGGTCTCCTGCCCCTACACAAGGATGTTAAACTTAGCTCCCCAGAGGAAGGAACTGTGATCAAACTACGCAGGACGGGAGCTTCTGGGTCCCCAGAGTCAATGAACCAACGGAGACAAAGAGCCTCTCAGATGTAATAACAGGAACAAGGACTGGAGCCTTTCCCTCTAGGCTATAACCTGGGGCCACGACAGGAAGGAGCTAAATTCCCAATATACCCAAGCATTGTTTGCAGGCTAAAAATACCATTTGGCTAAATCCTGCCGCTTTGGGCTGGGGATTTGGGTCTGACCGCCTGTGTGTGCAAATCATTGCTGAAAACTCTCAATTCTGAGAGTCAGAGAAAGGAAGACTCAGGTTTGAGTCCTAGGTCCTTCAAAGCCTGGAAGTGTTTATGTGTGCACAGAGCTCTCCAAGTGCACACCTCACACTCACTAATGGGGAGTCTCCTAAAGGACTGGTTTCCGGTCACTCGAAGGCATGGAGTGCTCCTTGGGAGATAGGCCTGCCTGTCCCTCCTCTAACGTCTGTGCACCCATGAATCACTTAATGCATCTTTGGTAATAAGACAGGGAATTAACCAGATGAAAAAGAAAGGCCAGTGCAAGGGCGCAGAATTTATTCAAGGAGAACTGAGGAAGCAGCCCCAGATTAGGGAAGGAGGGGAGGGAGAGAGCTGCCCACCTGCCCGCCCACCTGCCCAGCCAGCCCCAGGCGGCTCCCCTGGGGAGGCTACCTTAGGAATGCGGCGGGCCCTGCGGCTGGACAGCAGCTCACTGGTGGTGCTGAGGCTGTCCTCGTTGAGGCTGGAGGGTGAAGACGGCAGGCTCAGCTGAGCCAGCAGCAGCATGTCGTCATGGCTGTGCCTCTTGGGTAATCGTGGCAGCCGGTGGCTCTTCCTCTCTGACCAGTGCCCACTGCGCAGGGACTGGCTGCTGGGTTTCAAGGAGAGCTGGCATGGGAGAGAAGATGGGGGAGAGGGGTTCAGCACAGATGCCTTGGCTGGCATCCCTGGCTCCCCTGAATCCCACCCTGGAATTTCCCTCTGCCTGGGTTTCCTCTCGTAAGACCTCAGCTGCTAATCAGCAGGTCAGGGCTAGATGAGATATGGGCTTCCATAAAGGAAGCTGAACCACCTCTGCCAGAAAAAAGAAAACAGAGGCTAAGAAAACTGGGCTCTCATCTGAGTGGAAAAGAGAAGGACAAGCGGGAATTCTGGGGGCTCCTCCTGAGCTTTGGGACAAGGCTTAGCCTTTACTCATTGTTCAGCCTGGCTGATAGAGCTCATCTCCCTCCCACAGCCCCTGATCCAGTCCTAAAAAGCTTCCTTAGCAGGGGCCATAATCCACATGGCAGCCTGGCCCCGCTCACCTCTTCCAGGCAGTACATAAGGGCTCTGGGCCCTCACTCCCAAAGCCTGGCAAGGTGGGCCTCACAGGTGGCTCCTTCACTGCAGCTGCCCCTCCCCAGCCCTGATCTACTCCCTCCGTTAAAACCAGCATCCTTCTGCCCAGGCACCTTACTCTCTGCAGATCCTGCTCCCTGCTAGAAAGGCAGCACCCCTGCCAACTCGGCCCACCTCCCACCCGCTGTCTGCATCTGGCATCGTCTCTCATCCCTCTTCAGCCAGTCCTCCTTCCTCCCGTCCCCCAGCATCCTCTTCCCACCCAATCCGGCTGGCCGCACAAATTCAGTGGAAGCCTGTTTGAATACAGCACATGAAAAAGGTGAATCTTTTATAAAAATGATTACATCATTCCAAAGCCAGAAGAAATCATTTCTATATTCTCCAGCCAATGTTATAAAATGTCTAGGTCACTCCATTTGCAAACAGAATTAGAGTTGCCTGGGTAGGTCCGAGAAAGCGCCTCCCCCTTCCTTCTCTTGCCTCCTGTCCACCGTGGACAAGGCCAGAATGAGCTCAAGTCTAACGGTCTCCTTTGACTCTCCATCTTTTTTCTCATTCTGCCTTCTATCAGTCCATTCCTTGAATATTCAGTCTTTTATTCCCTCCGATACGAGTAGCTCCAGGTCTGGTAGACACCTGTCTAGCTCTCCAAATCTGGTTCTTGGGCCTATGCCTGGCCCCCAAATGCCAGTACTGAGATCGTTTCTGCCAGAGCTGCCAAATACCAAGACTCCAACCAGGGCCCCGTCTTCCTGCTACCCACAGAAGGGGAGCAGGAACAATGACAGGCCAGGAGGCAGCCGGGGCTCATGCCTCCGTGTTGTAGCACAGAGCTCGAGTAGTAAAGGGGAGAAAGGAGGGCAGGGTACCCAGGGAGCACCTCTCGCTTGCCCACAAGGATTTCAACATGGCAGAAGTCCCTGCATGCAGAGCTCTTTCCTGAGGTCACCTCCTTTGCCAAGCACTAGTGAGGGAAAGAGTGTGAGTGGAAGCAGGCCCACATCCTGGTAGGACAGGCCTCCACTGTGGCCCTTGTGCTGGCCCAAGTCGGGGCTGCCATTACCTGAGTGGGTGGGTTGTTGTACTTCCTGTCCTGAGGACCCCACATCCTGTGCAAAGAGTCCAAGGAGTTTTCAGACAGTTGCTGGGATTTTCGTCCTGCTCTTCGGCTCTTTAAGTCCACATCCTCATAAGGATTCTCCTTGGGCAGATCTCCTGCAGAGGGGGAGAAGTCAGAGACTGGGAGAAGGGAAGGAGGAAACACACTCACAAATAAACAAGCAGAATTCCTGTGAACCAAAGAGAATGGCTTCTGCCTGGCCCTTCAGCCCATGAGTCATACAGCTGCCCGTCTGCAGCGGGGAGGCTACAAACAGATCCCGGCTCCAAGTCCAGAAGCAAACCACCCACCCCCAGTTCAGCTCAGCCTCGTCTGGCCTCTGCTTTATAAATTCAGAGATTGCACAAGACTGGTTCAGCTACCCCTGCCCGTGCCCAGCCAGAGGACAAAGCCAACACCAGGCTTCATTCCTTGGCTCCAGTCCTCCCGCTGTGAAAGCCCCAGAGATGTACAGTTCAAGGTAGGAAAGGCTTTCAGAGGTCACACGGCTGTCCTGCTACCGATGCTCCCTGAGGACGCACTCTGGGGGCTGGGCATGGAGGAACACTACCGAACTATAAGGAGCAGGGGGCTGCCAGGCCTCCCTCTCGCTTCCTATACTGTGCACCGACTCTCTCTGGGCAGCTCTGCCATTTGGTCCACAGGTAACCCCACACCAGAACAGGGCTGAGCCAAGTAGTGACAGCTCAGTCATTATCTGCTCCATGCACCGCTCTCACTACAGGGCCAGTCTGTTTCTTCCACCGCTGGCCTCGCAACAAGAGATGGTCTTCACTCCCCTTTTGGGACAAGCCCTCCTGCTGTGACACAGGGGAGGTGTGAAAGGCCTGATAGCCATCTGTGCCAAAGAGGTGAGAGTGGGCAGTTTGGGCTTCTCAGGACTAATGGCTAAGAGCCCTGGAAGCAGGCACCATACGGGCACTGCCAGCAAACCTCAGGGAGCAGAGAGCACAGTCCCTGACCATGAAAGCATCTCCTTCCCAGGGCCTTACCTGCCTGCCCCTTTCCCCACAACACAAACCTGGACTTCCCTACAGCCCAGAACATTGTGCACCGGGTCAGATCCGTGGGCACTGCGAGTGAGCGCGGCCATCTGCTCCCCTTCCCCGGTCTTCCATATCCTCCCTGCCACATGGATGCCCCTGTCTGAGGCTGGGGACCCGGCAACCGGTGACCAACATGTATATGCTACCCTCTACTAGGGGCGGCACACACGAAGAGAACAGGGCTCACTCCTCTTCTCTCTGTTCAGCAGCAGGATGGAGCCTGGTGACCGCTGAGCCCTGCAGATGCCCGGATGTGTCTCACGCCCCAGAGGAGTTCAGATACTACTTCTCAGGGAGCAGGCAGAGGAAAGAGCTATAGGACTAGAAATAAGGCCACTGGGAGTGTAGGCTTTCCTAAGATGGGACACAGGAGAAAAACCAATCCTTAAATGCTTACAGAATTCTCGATTTCCAAAGTCAAGATTCCCCCCAAACTGGGGGTATCTACTTATTACTACCATGGAAAACTACACTGAATTTAGGAAATGCCTTCACAGAGGTAGGGGGAGGGAGGAGGTGTGAAGGAAGGATTTCTGTCACAGCTAATCAAGCTGCCAGGGGAGCAACACAAATCCCTTGAAGGTCTAGGTCAAGAATGGGTCAAGGGCGCCTGGGTGGCTCAGTTGGTTAAGCGACTGCCTTCGGCTCAGGTCATGATCCTGGAGTCCCGGGATCGAGTCCCGCATCGGGCTCCCTGCTCGGCAGGGAGTCTGCTTCTCCCTCTGACCCTCCCCCTTTCATGCTCTATCTCATTCTCTCTCTCAAATAAATGAATAAAATCTTTAAAAAAAAAAAAAAAAAGAATGGGTCAAGATAGGATCTGGGACTGGATGAAGTGATTCCGAGCACCAAGCAGAGTCCAGGCCCCAGCAACTGAACAGACGTTTTCCTGTAACACAGCCATGCTATAAAGATGACTGGTCTCCATTCCAGAGTCCTGACTAAGCAGAGCCAGCCCAGCAACACTGCTCAAGAAGCCAAGCATCAAAACTGGCATCCAGCCTACCCCACTCTGGGCACTTAGAGAGGAGGCAGGAGAGACTCAGTACTTCCTGGTCCCTCTCCAATATATAACCTGTATTGATGACGTGGGGGGGAGGGGGGGAGGCTGGGTCACGGACTCAAGAATGCCAGGACACAATCTTCCTGACCCTTGGGAAACAGGACCAGAGCATCACTGTTCAGATGGGGGCAGGAAGAACATTTATTCCAAGCTCATCAAATCCAAACTTCCTTGGGCTGGATGACCAGCCAGAGTACTTATCATCATCCCTGAACCAACAGGATGACCTTGTCTCAGCTCCTTTCGATCAGAGTTTCTCCAAAGTACTGACATTTGGGGCTGGATGACTCTTGATGATATAGACAGGGACGTCCATGTGGCAGGGAGGATATGGAAAGACCGGGGAAGGGGAGCAGACGGCCGCGCTCACTCGCAGTGCCCACGGATCTGACCCGGTGCACAATGTTCTGGGCTGTAGGGAAGTCCAGGTTTGTGTTGTGGGGAAAGGGGCAGACTCTCCTGTGCATTTGGGGGATGTTTAGCAGCAACCCTGGCCTCAATCCACTAGATGACAGTAGCATCCCCTCCGTTGTTAAGAACCAAAAATGTCTCCAGACACTGTCAAATGTCCCCTGAGCAGATGGACAAATCCATGCATGGATGGACTTGGGGGGAGAGAGGGAAGGATGGAAAGAAGGAGGGGAGGGGTGGGGAGGGAGGATGGGTGGATGGATGAAATTATCCCCCTGCCCTGTTAGGGACCACTGCTTTAGATAGATGTTTCTAGACCTCCTAATAGATTCTGACTGCCGTGACATAACTCCCCAGGCAAACTCTCTTTCCTCCATCCTTCCTTCCTTCCTTACTTCTCCCTCCCTCCTTCCTTCTCTTCCTTCTTTCTTCCCCAGGAATCAGAGCTTTGAACAATGATACAAAAGCCAAAGCTCCAAGAAACAGATGTAGGAGACTGAGGCCCAGGGAAGTAATAGATGCACAACATTGAGGCACATCAATGACAACCTAGGAGAAAACAGTTGGGAACACCAGGGTCTCACTACTAGGGCCTCTGGAAACAAAATTTCAGGAAAGCCTCAAAAGCCTGTTCCTCCTGCCTTCCCAGCCTTAACACCAGCCTCTTTCTTCTTCAGCAATGTTTAAAATCCTCTCTGATAGAACCAGGCCACTCATCACTGCTCCAAGAAATGACTGCTGGCCGCAGCCCAAGCCCTGCCTCCCCAGCTTTCGCTGGGACCTCAAAGCCCTTGTTCACCTGCTACTCTCCATGTCCTAGATTGGTCCTGGCCACCGTTCTGGAGCTGTCTCATGGACGTACTCCCAGTCATCCTTCCAGGGAGTAAGGATGCTCAGGGGATGGGGATAATATGCAGAGACCAAGCAGGCCCCGAGGAGAACCACACCTGAACCTGCTGAGAGAAAATTAATCCCAAAGCAATGGCTCAGAGTCAGGAGAGGAGGAAGGCTGGGGAATAGGGCTCAGATCTTCCTTTGGGGGAACAGGACTACAGCAAGGCTAGAGCAGCCACAGCTGAGTGGAGAAACACGGTGAAGAGTTAGCAGGGGCGTGGATGGGAGACAGGAAGCCTGGCAGACCACCAGACTGTCACCTGCATTCCCACCCACACAGATTCCTCGAGGGCGATCCGCACTGACTGCCTGACGAGAGAAGAGGGAGAAGAGGTAGGCCCTCTTCCCCAGAAGCCTGGCTCTGAGCAGCCCCATCTTATCAAGCCCAGCTGGGGGAAGCCAGAGGTCTCAACCCTTCCCAGCTTTGCTGATGAGATATGGAACAAGGGCATCGCCAAGAATTTCTGCTTTGCACTCTTTTAAAGGGGCTTGTCAGAGCCCAAACTTATCACACTGATCCTCTTGAAAGAAGAAAGCAGCCCTGTCCCATTCCTCCCCACAGCTCCTTTGGTCATTAACCACACACACCAAACAGCACTCACACACACACAACTAGAAGAACCAGTTAGGAAAGAGGTGTGTAAGTGCACAGACACTGAGAATTTCTCTCAACAGAATCCTAAGCTTCCTGACCACACCCTGCCTAGGGCCCTGGGTCTGTAGCTTCCCTGTCAAAACCTCTCCTGGTTCCAACCAGCTGTTTATCCTGGTGCTCAGCCTCTTCCCCTCCTTCACACAGTGGAGAAAGGGCCAGGGTAAAGGCCCAACTCCCTCCTTCCTCCGCCAACACACAGCACATCAGATGCGGAGCTCTAAAGGGCCAACTGTTACCCACCCTCCAAGCCTGGACACCTTTCTCTAACTGCCCAGGCACCGTTCCCCTGGGCTGCACCTCTGGGCTGCAGCCTCAGTGTTGTTAGGTACCCTCTGTTCCTTACTACTTTCCAGCCTGGGGACAAATGAGAGAAGATGACAGAGAGCAGAAGCTCAAAAAGCTTTGCACTCAGGCTGACTGGCCCTGTCCCCAGCTCCCATCCCACTCAAGTTCCTGGAAACTCTCCCTCAGCCCCAACTAGCTGATGGGAGTGGGAATCTCTGCAGGAATGCAGTCCAGGCTCCCTGGTCAGGCGCCGAGGCCACTCCACATAACTCCCTAACAAGCTGCTTCCTTGGGTGCATTTTTAAGTGTCAGGCTCAGAATGCAAATGATTATAAGGCTTTGTGGAATAGCAGCATCTTCCAGGGGCAGATGTCAAATTCGACAGGCAAAAATTAACAGCCCTAGGAAGTAAGGCACTAACTTTATTTTTGAACCCCCCTATTGCAAATTAGCAGGATAAACCTCAGCCTGTCTCGGAATATCCCACCCCAGGTCCCCAGGCGTCATGCCTGATGTGGGCGGGAGGCCAACGAATTCCCCAAGGCCCCTCGTTCAAGTCCACTGCTCATAGAAAAGACATGTTAGTTTCTGGGCCAACTGATCCTCAACCTCTAACCGACCAGAAACTCCAATCCAATCAGCTGGTCCCCAAGATGGAGATTTAACATGGGTGCTCCGTGCCCCCCACAGCCCCATTATCACACACCCAAAACAAAGCTTTGTCTGTCCCTGTGCAAGCAAGGCAGCAGAAGAGTTGGTTAATCCAAACAGAACCAGAAATGACCTTAACCTCACAGAGCACAGGCTGGGCCAAGAACAGAAGAGAAGGCTCCTGGGAAGTCCCAGGCACTGGTCAATCCCAGGCAAAAGTGAAACCGACATTCAGAGTTCAGCAACAAGGGCCCCCGTGAAGCCTCTGGGGGGTCCAAATTCTTGGGCCTGTCTCCAGGGAAGGAAAAAGGGATAGATCAACCAGAATCTAAGAGAAAGAGATATTCTCTCTTATATTTCCCTCTAGCCTCCCTGGTCTAGAAATTTAGCCAGTGCTATTGTGGGGGATACAAAGGAGGAAGCTGTGTCCAGGGCAGTGAACTAACTACAGATGCTGAACAGCCCCCCACCCCCACCCTACAAGGCTGAAGCAAAACCCAGGTGCCTGGGTCACTCCCTGCCCTCCTTCCAACACCCTCCCGAGTACTCCACTCCTCCCCTTATCTGCACAATGCTCCAAATCCACAAGCTAGGTGAGTAGCAAAGGAACACACCCCCACTGCAACTTCATCCCATCCTAGCCCTTACCCCTAGCTCTAGCTCATCCGTTCAGGAAGCAGCTACGCTGCTCCAGGATTTCCTTCCCTCCTCGTGCAGCATCCCAATGTGGCAAAAAGACCCCTCTACTGAGTCTGGAGCCTGAGACCCAGACACCCTTGCCTCTCTCCTCCTCTTCTCTCTAAGCTGACTGAAGAAAGCCCAGAGAACGGCTCTGTTGCCCAGGACAGCGCCCCCCAAATTCTCATCTTCCCCTGCTCCACCAGACACAGTCCCCAAACAAGCCCAAACAGAGCCTAGGATCATGGAACTCTGGACAGGGAGAAATGGTTAAAGCATCTCTTTTTCTTAGTTCAGTTCAGTTGATGCAAAAACATGCATCTCCTCACCTGAAATCCCTGGACAGCCCAGACGGGCTGCAAAGCCTTGTCAGAGAAGAGGATCACAGAGTGGGCAGAGACCACCATGCTGGGGGAGGGGGCTAAGAACGAGAGCCTCCCCTGCCCACTGCAGCAGCTGCACTGGGTGCTCCCGAGGGCCCTGGGCAGCAAGAACACATTCCGATTTCTTCTCAACTAGAGGAAACAGGAATGTACCCTGCAACGGGAGTGGGGAGGAAGATGGGGTTGTGCCTCTGACCCCCACAGCTCTTGACCTCAACTCTGGGGACCATGTGTACAAAGCTTTTTCCCAGTGTTAAGGGAAAGGTCTCCCTCCCTAAACCCTTTTGCTGTTCTAGGGATCCCACTCCTACAGTCTTCCTGTTATGACCTAATTTTGGATGGCTATATACTACGCACTCCATTCCTGGGGAAGCAGTGCCTTTGTGGATCCAAGCACTCTGCTATTTCCCCAGAAATGCCAGCCCAGCAAGTTGTAAGGAAAAAACGATGAAACTGATGGCTCAAACCAAATGAGGGAATAGATGACCTCCTCTTCCGAAGATTCCCTAGTCTTAGGAGAATCTGGAGGATTCTCCACTAGGGCCACTTCTCTCTCTAATGTGTTAACTAAGACTACAGTCTCCAGCCTCAAGTCCTAACACAGAGATGAGACAGAACCAGAGATGAGAGAGGAGGGGTCAAGTGCAGAAGTACACTGCTTCTCTTCTCTTGAATGATCTACACTCACACACAGCACATTACTTGAACAAAACTGAAGCACCCACTGAAGAGAATGAGGCCAGAATTAAAATGAAAGCCCAAAATAAACCCAACCCACCCCATTCTGTTGGTTTTTCGTTGACCCTGAAACACAGGTTTGCCAACACCAAGTCTTCCCAATTGGAGGACAATTCTCCATGGTACCTTATCTTTCTGACTTTTGAGCAAGAGGAATGAACCATCCAGATTACCGTTTCAAAGGTGTATAGCAAACAACCCCAGAAGACAGAGAGGAGAGTGTCTCCCCGGAGGGCAGAGGCAGATTTGTTTCCTGACCAGAATGAAGATAACATCTCTTTGTGGGGCAGGGGTTGGGCACGTTTGCTAGCCATCCCCTGAAAAGACTGGGGTTCCTTAAGCTTAGAGCTCCTCAGCTGGGACACAGACCCACTGTGCGTACAGTCTCTACCTGGACCTCCTCCACATTGCCTCATGGGACCTGGGAGCAAGGGGAACCCACGTTAACACGGAGCTCATGCTTCCTGCTGTGCCATGAGCAATAAAGTCCTTTGTCTTCGATCCAAGAGTCTTGTGTCTTCTGTCAGCATCTGTGAATCTGGGGAGGGCTAAACTTGTTTGCAAGCAGAGTAAAATCTCAGATGCTTTTTTTTTTTTTTTTTAAGATTTTATTTATTTATTTGACACAGAGAGACACAGCGAGAGAGTGAACACGAGCAGGGGGAGCGGGAGAGGGAGAAGCAGGCCTCCTGCGGAGCAGGGAGCCCAATGCAGGGCTCGATGCGGGGCTCGATCCCAGGACCTGGGGATCATGACCTGAGCTGAAGGCAGACACTTAATGACTGAGCCACCCAGGCGCCCCTCAGATGCTTTCTTGACACCACTTACTTTAAGGGAAAGTAGGAGACAGATATTAAGGACCAGGCACTGTGCTAGGTACTCTGATAAACATTTTATCTCATTGAATCCTAACAATAATCCCTTGAAGTATTATTACTATTATCATTATCATTGTTAACATCATAACATCATCATCATCACTTTGTAAGAGAAGACAGAGGTCTGAGAAAAGTGATTGCCTAAGGACACACAACTAAGGAAGGACACACAGCTAAGGAAGCCTTGTGAAAATAAAAAGAAAGGATGATGTGTGGTTTTCCCCTTTTTGTGCTCCCAGAAACCCTTTGGGTTTCAGTTCATTCAAGGTTAGGCTTTAATTTCTCAGCTGCTCAGTCTTTGCTAAGCTGCTTCCTCTGGTGCCCATTTTCTTGAGAAGTTCCAGAAGCTGGGCCAGGTCTGCCCACAGTGAATGAAGTGGAATCTGGGAGTGTTCCTCCTGTTCTTGCTCTGCAGCCCCCAGAGACAAGCCAGCCCACCACCTCTGCCATAGCTTACCCACAATATCTTCATAGGCATTCTCTTCTAAAGTGCTTTTGGATCCAAACTTGGGTTGGCTCTCAGTACCATTCTCAGTTGGAGAAGAGGGGTACAGGGACTGGAGACTGGATGCATCCTCAAACTCAAAGGATTTTCTGTAGATAACAAGAGCATGAGTCATTCCAGCAAAACTAGATTCCGACTGCCTTGTTGGGGGAATGGCCACGGGCAACAGCAAAGTCCAGAGGTCCTCCTCACCAACCAGCTACCAAGCAACGCATCAAGATGGATCAAAACTTACCACTCAAATGAGGAGAGAACGGTCTGAGAGGCCCAGACTGGGTGCCTGCAAATAATACCTGTAACAACTCCCACAGCTAAGAAGGGTGTCGTGTGTCAGATGCTCTATCAAATGCCTTGCATGTGAACCTCATTTATCTTCACAATGCTGCTATGAGCTATTGTGCCATTTTATGAATGAGGAGGTGGAGGCTCAGGGAGATGAAATGACAAGAGGCAGGACTCACCCAGGCTGTGTGGCTCCAGGGTCTAAGCTTTGACCTGGGCCTCCAAGTCCTGGAGCATGTCATCCTTGAGAAGCACCTGCCAGTACCACAAGAATAGAGTACTTGTTCTGCCTCTGGAGTCTCCATCACACCTGCACCATAGCAAGGGCCCCTGATCTGAACAGGTGGTAAGGACTCAACAGTGGACGGGTGGTGCCCAGGGCTGTTTGGGGGTCAGGGAAGCAGTTGGTGGTAGGTGGGGTGTTGGAAGAGGAAGGGCTGAGACTTCCAAACAAACCACACTGCTTCTGAGGTGGAAGTAGGAGGGCAATTTGTAGTCAGAAGCTACTTCCAAGAACCAGTTTCCCTTCAGCTAGTCACCTGCTCCTTCCCACCCCACAAATGGCCATCCCCTCTACTGCAGAATTTTTAAACCACAGCTTGTTAGCTCCTCAGACAGCTTGAGCCCAGAGTACTCTCTCCTCCTCTCCTCCATTAGCTAAGGCGTGACCCCAGCTGCATCCTCTCTCTCTCCAAGGCAGGTCCTGGCAAACCCCCGGGGAGGGGGAGAAAGGAAAGGCACTGACTGAAGACCTCCTCCCACCCATTAACACCTCCCTCTTCTTTTGGGTACCATTAGACATCTCAGCCTTTCTCTCTTGTTTAATGAAAAACTCCTGAGAGTCTTGGGGTGCAAGTCAAGAACTGAAGGTGTCCTAAAAGCCACATTCTATGCTCAGCTTGTCTGGCTACTCTGGAGCACTTGACACAGCTGAACACTCTAACTAGCATTCTCCTTCCTTCGTCTTGTATGACACGGTCAACAGCCTCTTTGGCAGTTACTTTCCAGGCTCTTGTGAGGAGTTCACCTTTTCTACTTGTCTTTTAAATGCCAGGGTCTCTCAGAATTCTGTCTTTAGGATTCTCTTTCTCACTCTGTACTTTCTGGGGCCCAAATACTGATGGCCATCCCTCTATCTACCACTCCTACCATGATGGCTCCCAAATCTGTCTCTGACATAGACTTTCCACCGAGTTGAGTGCAGTGGTTCCTGAATGTAGGCCCACAGAAACTGGTGGTCTGAGATCAAGCTCTCATGGATCTACATACAGTGAGGTCAACATCTTTTGCAGGTAGTTCTCAAGTTAGCAAATAAGACACAAATCATGTTCAGCCAAATTACCCTTGAAAATCCCTCAGGAAGACCAACACACTGTCTTGGATTAAGACTAATATTGTCAGTTTCTCCACAGATTTTTTTTAACAGATTTCTTTTTCTTTGGTTGAATACCCAAAGAAATATGGCTTGCATTTTTTTAAATAAAAAGGTATATTAAATATAAGAATCATACCTGACACAATAGAAACAAACTCACCTGCTCCTAGAGGGAATATGCTCACTATGTGAACAGGCAAATAAAACAGTCTGTACTTTTTGAATGGTCTTTTTTATCCCCAAGAGCACAGATTTTTAAATTTCCGAAGTTACTTCTTATGTGAAGTGGCCCTACCATATATGGTGTGTGTGTGTGTGTGTGTGTGTGTATTATGTATAAATGTAATGTGTGTGGGAGTATGTGTAAAACCTTCAGGCTGATGTACTCTCCCGCACCCCCCTTTTCCACCTTGCTAACTGCAAATTCTTTGCTCTTCTAAATTTAGTTCAGCAACTCCCTCTATAAGGAGGCTTCGCTCACTCCCCAGCCTAATTTAGCTGCCTCTTCCTTTGGGTCTCTATAGCACCCTACATGGACAGGGATCACGTCACATAGAACAGCATCTAGGATTTATTTGTGCATCTATCTCCTATACCACATCAAGAATGGAAGAATGGAAGAACCACATCTTATTTGACCCTGTGTCCCCTTAACCAGTACAAGGTTTGGTGCATGGCAGGCTCTAGATGGGTGTTTAAAGAAATGGATAAAGAACAAAGCAAACACTCTTGGTAGGCTGTTAAAGACTTAAGAGCCAGTGAGCATGCTGGGGTGAGCCAAAACATAGGATTTCCCTTAGCCAAGGGCTCTTCTGGTCCACGGATCTGAAACTTTCTGATATCTTCCTCTCATGGCTGAACAGTTATCTATATGAGATGGGATATGCTGGATGCAGCCTGAAGTATGGGGTCCAACGGAAGAATCCTGAGAAGGGAAATAAACCTGAATGCCATCTGACTTTGGTTTAGAAGAGAAAGGCAGTGAGGGAGAGAGGGATAGGCCTTCCCAAGGAGGCAGGCTCCCAGCCTACCCCAATTCAGAGAATAAGACGCCAGTCAACCTTCCCAAACCCTAGCAGCTCCAGCTCCCGGTCACTATAGGACAGCCCAGGTAGTCCAGGGTCAGGAATGCGGAGACTGACCAGGAAGACAATGAGAGTGTCAGCACAGGTCATTCTTGGACATGGTGAAGAAGCAGTAAAATGTTCTTCGACTCGTTTTTCCATCAGTCTCCCCTTTCAGGATCCAAGAATCCCCTCTCCCTATAGGCCCAGGGTCCCTAAATGGCCAGGAAGCCCTCAGGAAAGAGAAAATCACCTTAAATGTCTCAATACTACCGTGTTAAGGACAACATGCAGTATTCAGATGATGATTCCCTCAAAGAAATAAGTTTCTAATGCTGGCATTTCAGGTGGTCATGAGGCTAAGATCCTACTACTAGTCTTCAAGGGACTGCCCATTTTATCTAAAAGGAAGGTGGCCCTCCCCCTCCCCCAGGGACCAAGGAAGTTCCAACAGCGTTCAAGACACAGCCCAACTTTCCCCCAAAGGCCAAATCTAGCCCACACCTTCAGTAGACAGCATTTGGAAGAACCATTTTCACCCTCCCACTCACATTTACATATCCTTATCCCGGCAAGAGCAGAACAATTTCTTTTTCATCTAACTCAGGTTACCGCCTAACAAGGATTCACTGCTTCGGGACCTAGGAAGCACTGCTGACTGAGACCCACAATTACAATCTGCTTTTGCATCTTCAAACGAGGAGAAAGCCACTGTGCCCGGCTGTTAAGACACTGGAGGAGCATTCGTTACCTGCTCTGGGACTTGCGGTGACCACGCATGTCCTTCTTGGGTCTCCGGGTGACTGGTGGGGCTGGGGTGGAGGGCAGGGGGGGTGGAGCAGCAGGTGTGGGCGAAGGAGGTAGACCATTGCTTGGCTTATTCTTGGGGTTCTTGTCAGCCTCATATTCAAAGGTGCGCTTGGGTTTGGGGACAGGGTTCACAGCGGGATCAGGGGAGCTCTTTGATGGCAGCAGCTGGGAGCTCGGGCTATTTCCAGGGGTCCCTGGCTTAGTGGAGCCACTGCCTTCCCTCTCCAGGGGTGGGCCTGCCTCCCCCCCAACTCCAGCCACTCCTGCCCGGCTGCCAGTGCTCACACTCGTGCTCCCTGTTGGTTCCTCCAAGGTGCCCAAGGTCCCAGTCTTCCTTCTCCCTCGGTCTACACTGTAGCAGCTGCTGGGGAGCTGGGGGAGTCCCCGGCCTGGCTGCTCCTTCAGGGCCTGTTCAATTTTCTGGATCCGACTCAGCACTGCTGAGCTCTCTCTCCTGCTGCCATGCCCCCTGAGGAAGGCGCTGGGCTCACTCCGGCCCGCCCGTCTCTCTGGCCGATAGAAAGAGTCCCGGACAGGGAGCGCCTCTCCTTCCTCCTCGGTCTCAGGGTAGGAGCACTCTGAGAAGGTCCTGCTCATCCTCCGGAGGCCCTTGAAATCGAAGGCTTTTTCTGAGCTGCAGGGGGATGGCGCCACGCTGGGACAGCCCTCACTGAGCGCCCATTCGCCCCCAGAGCCCTCCCGCTTCTCCCCGCACATGCTCATCCTGGGCGAAGCCTCTCGGCGCCCCTCCCATGCTGAAATCTTCTCCCGGATGCCCAGGCTGTGGGCACGGGTGCCAGTGCGGTTCAAAAAGAAGCTCCGTGGGCCAGCTGTTGGCCCTAGGGATGGGGTGCTCTGGGCAAGGGGGAGGCAAGCAGCTACTCCCTCTACATCCTGGGCTACCCCTTGGACGTTCTCCTTCTGGTCCTCTCTCTTGCACACTGAAGGGCTTCTGTCCAAATAACTGAAGTTGGTGGCCTTGAGGGGACAGATGGGTGGTGAAGTGTCTGGGGAGGGAGCTTGAGGATTTGGGGGTGAAAGATCACGGGGGTGCCAGTCCTTGAGGAGCAACCGGGAGCTGGAGCGGCTTGGGTACCTGCAGGCTGACGTTTCACTATCACTGAGCGGGTAGATGGGACTCCTCGGTGGGGAGAGAACTGGAGGTGGAGAGACTGACTGAGACCTAAAAGCAACAAAAACAAAAAAAAGGAAAAGAAGAGAAAATGGCAGTGAGTGGCCTGACAACCAGAGACATGGCGTTTCGTTTTGGCCCGCTCAGTATCTCTTTCCTGCAGGGCATCCAAGCTCGAAGTACTCTATTCAAGTAATACACCTTTCAAAGCCGTCCTCAAGGGAAGGAACACTGCTTATTCACGGCCGGCCAAACTCAATGGGTCTCTCTGCCCAATTCGATCCCAGAGGCCCTGAGTGCTGTCTGGAACAGACCAGCTCTGTGTCAGGTCAGAGGATCCCAAGAAGCTACATGGGCCAGCTAGAGAACAGTAAGGCCAGGGGTGCGCTGCGAAATGTTTAGCGGTCGGCCCTCTGAAAGAGAAAGCACAGTTCGGTAACATCGGCCAATCTCCGCAGTATAAATACTCCCACTGCAGCTGATTTCAAGCTGCCAACATGGCCCCACGGAATGTGGCACTGGGAAGAAATGCTGGTGATCAGTTCCCAGGAGCTGCTAGAAAGCATCTCAAGCACGCTACTTCCTGAAGTACCCCAAATATACACCCGAGCCCTTTGCTCCGTCTCCTTAACAAACCCCTGTCTCCCGAGACTTCTGTTACCAGCACAGCATACTGCACCTCAGCTTGGGTCTTGACCAGAATTCAGGTCCCTGAGAGTCTCAAAGAATCAGGGTCCCTCAAGAAAGAGTCCTCTCTATGGGGATTAACATAAGAATAAAAAAAAAAAAAGAAAGAAAGAGTCCTCTCTGCCCCATCAGCGAGGATGCCCATGGGGAGGAGAGGCCAGCTCCTCAGGAGGCTCTACCCTCCAGCAGTGGCCACTTCTCAGCACTAAATCCACTTGCAGGTCTTAGCCAATAGGGGGAAGAGTTCGAAATAACTGGTTTTACACATATTATTAACTCATTTGGTCTTCACGAAAACTCTACACAATTATTATTGTTTATTATTATCTCCACTTTACAAATGAAAACCACAAAGGCACAGAGAGGCTAAATATCTCATCCAAGGTCCCTCAGCCGGTGAGGGGGGAAGCCAGGAAGGAACTTATAAAATACTATGCTGCCCCTCTCAAGAGGAAGCAGTGTCCTCTGCCATCTTTGTGAACTGCCTAGGCTCCCAGACATAACCTGGCAGAAACCCTCAGAGCCCCATGCATAGCCTTATCTCAAATGTAGCATTTATAAGTAGCAGGGACCTCTTCCCCTTCAAGACCTCTAGACCTCTTCCCTACCAGTCCACGATTTCTTCCAAGTGGAAGGACACATCCTCAGTATCTGGAAGGTGCTCAGTGAATGGAGGACAAATAAAGGAAAAGGTAAAGGTGGGCTTATTGACAAGAACCATGAGCAGACTTCTCTTTCAGTACACTTTTCTAATTGTCTGCTAGGGTCATCACTCTCAACTCTCGGCGCTCTCCACAAACAGTTTTAGTTCAAATACAGCAGGGTCTTGCCAACACCGCACACTACGAAGGCCTACCTGACCCTCATGCCGTGGCCCTTAAAGCTGGGCGGGAGCCTCACAGGCTCCAGAGGGCCATGCCATCCACAGGAAGGCAGCCAGCTGCCCTCGAGCCAGCCTGCTGTCACTACTTGCTCACACACAGAAAACTGGAGCTTGGGTGAGTCAGGGATTGGCCGACAATTCCCTGTTGGGTCATAGCCTCTGGCTGCCCCCGATCAACAGGAAACCTCAACATGCTTAAGTTGTTTTTAAAAGGGCAAGTCAAACAAGAGCCATCCCACGTGTACATGGGCACGGATGGTAGAAATGCAGTGCCCAGCCAAGGCAATGACCAAAGAGACTCTGCACAGCAAGGACGTATGAAAGGAATAAGCCTCAGCACTCCCTAGGGTAGGCAGCAGCAGGGCAATGTGCCAAGCTCGAGCCTGGGGAGATCCCAACCTACTCACAGCGAGGGAGGCCTTAAGTCCCTCATTTATTTCATAGAACCATGGATGCCAAAGGTCATCATCAGTCCAGCCCTGCGAGCCAGCAGTGTCTGGACTCCACAAAGGACTCTGTTTCCGTTATTCTCCTTTGGAGGTGGGAGAAGGTGCCGTTAATAGAAAACAACCTGGACATGTGTTTATTCATTCAACAAATACTTAGTGAGCACCTACTATGTACCAGGCCCTGCTCTAGGTGCTAGACACAAGAATAAATAAAAGAGGCAAAAATTCATGTCTTCATGAAGCTTAAATTCTAGTGGGAGAGGAGAGTCATCTAATGAGACTCAGAATCTCTTAGGAAGCCTCTTGTATATGCCTCATCTCTCCAGACATTCTGATATATGCTCCCCTACGGACGAGTCTCCTCAACCCCCAAGGTGAGAATTCACCAGGCCATGAAGCCACTGTATTTATTGGGGGGGGGGGGGAGAAGCATAGGTGTGTATGGCGTATGGCATGGCTCCCACAGGTGGGAAAGAAATATGGTAAGGATCTCTGGTCTGTCCGATTCCAGCATGGTTTTAGAACAGATGACTCCCTAACTTCCCTTGGTAGTTCCCGCATGGAAAAATCTCCACAAGGTAAGAAATTCTCTCAAAGCCTAAATACCTAGCCTGCTTTAACTAAAGTTTAGTTTCTCTCCTCTCATGAAGGATCAAATAGAGAAGAGACTGGCCCTTCCCTTTAAAGGTGCTGGTCTTTGTATCATTGCTGAGTTTCGGGCAGAGCTACAGGGGCTCCTTGAGCAGCCTCCCCACACAGGCCAGGCTCAGTGTGTTCGAGCAGCTGGGGATGGGAGAAGGGGCCTGCCCAAGCTGACCTGGAGCCTAGTCATCCCCAGGTTCATCACAGAGAAGGCAGCATTCACTCACTCCAAGGTCCTAGGGATAAATCTGTAAACAATATAGATAAGGCCTTGCCCTCATGGGATTCTCACTTGACAGAAGAACTCACTGCTATCTCTCCATGTTTCTGATTCTACCTTTTTAGGAATGTGACTATAAGCAAAGCCACTCATTCTCTCTGAGCTTCCAGCTTCAATTCCTCCAAATTGTTCTGACTATATCACAGGGTTGTCATAATGGGCAAATGAGACTGGATGTGAATTGATATCATATACTGTAACTCACTATGACTGTTAGTTATCATTAGTATTAAGTTCTTCACCAGGTTATGCTAGGCCAGTTCTTCTCAACAGAGGGTAAAAATATTATAAAGCCTTAGGGTTCACATTTCAGAGTAGCCACTAACAAGTTACATGACCTTGAGCCAATAGCTTTATCTCCTTAAACCTTAGATCTGTAAAATGGAGGTTAAAAGAACACACGTCTCAGGGGATTATTGTAAGGAACAGAGACAACACACATCAAGTGTTGAACCCAGTGGCTAACACATAGTACTCGGTTTTAGCTTGATAATTACTAATATTAACAAGGGGCTCACTATTCAAAATAATCACTTGGCAAACTTTTTCAAAGAGCTTACCTTTGTCCTTGGATTCTAAACATCTGGAGTGGAAGAGAAAGGGAGTAATTTAAAATGGCCATAAATCCTTTGCAGCTCATGATATCAAAAGGTGGATCCAATTTTTCTGCCCCTTAAATCTAGGTTTACCTTGTGATTTGCTTTGACCAACAGAATGGAGTAGAAATTAAACTAAGTCCCAAACTTGAGGCCTCAAGAGGCCTTGCAGAATCCCCCTTAACATACCTGGAATGCTACCCTGAGACTGTCATGTTAGGAAGCCAGTCTAGTCTTTTAGAGGATAAGAAGCCATGTGGAGCACAACCGAGGCCCCTACAGCCAGCAGCCAGCCCAACGTGAGCTGACACTTGGACCCAACTGAATCTGGCTACATGAGAGACTCCAGGAAAAACCAGCAGAGGGACTGCCCAGTAAACGCACAGAAACGTGAGAAGTAATAAAGTAATAAACTGTTCTAATAGTAAAATGATGCAGGTGGGAAAGGTCAGCCATGTGTATAATTGGCCTGCCCTATCCCAATGCAGAAATACTGCCCTGAACCTTCCATTCCCATGCCTCTCTCCTCCACTTGCGCACAGAGCAGCCTCCATGGTCTTGATGTTTGGATCTCACTCTCTCTACTAGGAGCTCTGGCCTGAGAATCTCCTCTGAGCACTCCCTGCAAATGGAGCTAGTTCTGTAATCCCAATAATAGAATCAGCTTCCATCAGTCTTTGCCCCAAGTGGAAGGAGGGCTCAGGACAACCTGTTAACCCAGAAAACAAGGAGCCTTAAGGGGGGCACATGATGGAGACTGGCGATGAGGATGCATGGTTCTTTGTGGCAGTGTTCCCATGGCAGGTGGCATCTCCTGAGCATGGATGGGAGGGGGTGCTCACTCACTCATACGTACCAATCCCCACTAGCTATCTTCCAGTTCCTCAAATGCAGGCTGGTAGTGAAGGATAATTGTCCCCTGTTGGACAGTGGGAAACTGTAGCCACATGAATGGTGGTGCCTGGATCCAAATACATACCAGGTGCTATTTTAGGCATCATGGATCAGCAGAGACTAAAATTAGACAAAGTCTCTCTATAGGTTATAGTCTAGTGGAAGGAGGCAGTGTGGCTTTATTTGTTTAGAGTGAACAGACAATAAACAAACCAACACTGAGAGATGGATATGGAGCCAATGAAGAAGAATAAAAAAGGGGAAAGGGAGAAAGATTCACAGTGAGGGAGATCAGGGAAGGCCCCTCTGCCGGGGACAATGTGAATATAGCCTTAAGGAAGTGAACAATGAGTTTATCCAGGGGACAAATGTTGTAGGCAAAAGGAGCAACAGGGCAAAGGCTTGAGGCAACTACATACTTACTGTATTCTGGGGGCAGCAAAAAGCCCAGTGTGGACAGAGTCGAGTGAGAAGAGGCAGAGGGCTGGAGATTAGTCAGAGAGGCACCAGAAGACCCTATGGACCAATAATAAGACTTGGGCTTTTACTCTGAGAGAGAAAGGAAGCTCTTGAAGGGGTATGAGCAGAAAAATGATATGCTCTGACTTCACATCAGAGAA